GTCACCAATTCTTGTCATGTGTCTTTGTCTTTGCCTCTGAATTGTGTGTACTGATCCCTCTGGGATTAATAAAGTATCTTTTAATTTGAATTGAATTTGAATTTCAAGCAGATCACAGAATACGCCTCACAAAACTGTCTGCTTGACCCTTACCAATCTGGGTTCAAAAAGGGCCACTCCACTGAAACTGCTCTGTTAGCAGTGACTGAATCCTTAAAAGAAGCTAGAGCGGCTGCCAAATCCTCAGTGCTTATCCTGCTCGACTTATCGGCTGCATTTGACACTGTCAACCATGGCTTCCTTTTGTCCACACTCTCTAGCATGGGCATCACAGAGAAAGCACACGGCTGGTTTGAATCGTACCTCACAGGACGATCATTCAGTGTATCTTGGCTTGGACTATCCTCTACTGTGCTCCATCTTGCCACAGGAGTGCCCCAGGGTGCTGTACTAGGACCTCTTCTCTTTGCCATATACACCACCTCACTGAGTGAGATAATTCGATCACACGGCTTCTCCTACCACTGCTATGCAGACGACACCCAGCTCTATCTGTCATTTCCACCGGACGACCACACTGTCTCTGCACGAATATCAAACTGTCTCTCTGACATATCAAAATGGATGAAATCCCACCATCTCCAACTCAACCTCTCTAAAACTGAACTACTTGTCATCCCAGCAAAACCATCCATACAACACATTATCTCAATCCAAAATGACTTCCTATCTCTGGCTCCTTCAAAGGCAGTTCAAAATCTGGGTGTTGTGATTGATGACCACCTGACCTTTAAAGATCATGTTGTCTCTGTTGCTCGTTCATGCCGCTTTGTGCTGTATAACATACGAAAGATATACCTAACACAACATGCCACCCAGCTCCTGGTGCAATCTACTGTCATCTCCCGCCTCGATTACTGCAACGCCCTTCTAACTGGTCTTCCAGGCTGTACTGTGAGACCTCTTCAAATGGTCCAGAACGCAGCGGCGCGTCTGGTCTTCAATCAGCCAAAAAGAGCACACGTCACCCCTCTGTTCATTGAGCTCCACTGGCTACCGCTAGCAGCACGCATCAAATTCAAATTGCTAACACTAGCATACAAAGTCTGAGATGGTACGGCTCCCATCTACCTGAATCCTCTTGCAAAGGCTTACGTCTCGGCCCGGCCGCTCCGGTCATCACGGGGTCGTCGGCTAGCAGTGACTACACCACACTCAGGACAATCCAGACTCTTCTCATGCATCGTTCCACAAATGTGGAATGACCTACCAAGCACTACCAGAAAGTGGATTTTCAAGAAACTCCTGAAGACCCTGCTCTTCAGAGAGCATCTTCTTAACTAGCACCCTCCTTGCACCCATCCCCCCCTCTCTCTACTGTCCACTCCTTGTTCCCTCCTCTCCATGATTCATCATGCTGCCTCACTGCCACCTACGACTGACTGGAAAGTGTTTGTTGTTGTTGTTGTTGTTGTTGTTAGCCTCAAAGGCAACATGCCGATTATAACTTGTAAGTCGCTTTGGACAAAAGTGTCTGCTAAATACATAAACATATATATTTAGTATGGCTTGCCAGGCTAAGACCAATCATGAACGTAGACCAGCCATCATTGACAAAGCACCAACCTGCATACCAATTATTAAACTCAGACCCATTAAACCCAAACTGAAACAACCAAAACTAATCACTAACTCAGACTAACTACGAACCTTGACTGACCCAAACTTGCCACCAACCCAGGCTGAAACCCAGTCTACTCACCAATCTGAACCTACCCCAACATAAGACCACCCACCAATCCTTAGCTTGATGTTATAAAAATTAGTTTAGTAATCAAGGGATTGATTTCTTTCCTATACCTGAACTGGGCGTCGACGCTCGGCTTAGATTGTTTGTAGGGTCAGTTTCAGGAAGAACTTTTCTGCAGAGATCAGAGGAAAAGATTTACCAGATCAGAAAGTGTAACAATATCATCTAGACAGGGTCAGTGATAAAAACCTACATGTATCCGTTGTCTTCGGGATCACTGCCATGGCCATCAGTTTCTGTTGGAAATAGCAGAAGAAAGAAACATTTACATTGAGAGTAGAAGCTCAAACCTTCTAGGACGCCAAAGCAGCCTCTCAAGGCTGCTTCAACACACCCCCACGAAAGGAGGAATGCCGACAGATGCTGTGTCCCGACCTTCACCCTCTTCCTTCAGATTGAGACGTCTGCGGGAAACTTCAATGTGCTCTCTGGTCCTTATCTCTCCCTCCCACCTGTTGGTCTGCAGCTGGTCGATGCGCCACAGTGGCAGCTCCCATTGGAGGCTTCAGGATCCCGCCCAACCCCGCCTCCCCATCGGACTCTGATGTTGTATCTGTGCTGTTTGTGCTTCCATGTTAAAGGAGGAGTTTTTTGTATAATAGAGTTACTCCCCGCTGGGTCTAACACTGCTATGCCTTTTTTTACCTTACCCCCAATTATCCTCATGTAACACCCTTTTATCTATCTTTTAAGGTAGCGCGACTCATGTTGCGAATGACCGCAGTCACCAATTCTTGTCATGTGTCTTACCCACATATGTCTGATCTTTGAATTGTGTGTGCTGAAACTCAATTTCGTTTCTCTGTATGTCCTGCACATGTGGTAGAAATGACAACAAATGACTTTGACTTGACTTGACTTGATACTTCTGCTTAGCGTTGGCCCAAGTCCCTCTCTGACAAAATCCTGGTGTGCCACATTTCCAATTCAAAGCCTCCATTTTACACATGTCTAATTCAAAGCTGCCCCTTACAGGTGTCTCATCAGAAATTCCATCTAAAAGGTGTCTAATCCAAAATCTTTATGCAACAGTTTTCTAATCTGAAGTCCCAGTTCAACATGTGTTACGCTGTCCTGCATAAAAAATCTTGTTTCAGTAAATAGTTCACCATGCACCATTAGGATTAGCTAAGTCCAACAGTTAGTCAAGATCCTAAATCAATTAATTTTGTCCAGTATGAAGAACTCCTAGCCATCATCAATGAATCATCAAAAATAGAGTTTTCACACATTATAATGTTTAACGTGTAGCTTACATCCCTCGCTTGGCTGACCAAGCTACAGCATGTGAGCTGATTCAAAGGTCACTGGGCCAGCTGCACCTGTGGAAGACCTCCTGTGTGGTTCTGGTTCCCAAATCATCACATCCCCGAGAACAAGACCATTACCGATCAGTCGCCTTGACCTCCTGCCTGATGAAGACCATGGTGAGCTGGTTTGAGCTGCTGTTTGCAACCAAACCAAACACTAGGGTAGAATATGCCATCTTCCACCTCCAGCACCTTCAGATGCTAAACAAGCACTGTGAAGTCATGCTTTCAACACCATCCAGCCATCTCTACTGTAGTGGAAGTTGAGGGCTGCAGGAGTGGACTGATGTCTTACTGCATAGACCAGGGATTCCCTAAATGTGGTGCGCGAGCTGCCGCTAGGGTGAAAAGTGTAATGGCTGCGGAGCTCAGAGAAGTCTGTCATATGTCACCATTAGCGTAGCCAGAAACTCATTTGTGGGTGGGCCAAAGAAAAAGTAAGTGGGCCCAATAAATGTAATTGAAAACAAGTATATTTTTACACGCTCGTGTGTGTGTGTGTCCTCCACATGTGCCCTAGCTTCATAATAACAATGCGCCGAGCTTCAGCACTCTGGCCTGCGCACGCCGATATGTTCCGTATTTGATCATTTTTAACGGTGTTGGAGGAATCTGAAGGTGAGTCATTCTGGCAGATTGTAATTAACACCTGTCTCATGCAGGTGTTCTGACATTGTAAACCTCACACACAGAACATTGTGGATGTAACTAAATAAATCAAGCAATGATTCCCATTCAGGCTATTAACAGCGCGCTGAAGATCTGAAGTTCAGAGTGCGTCTGTCAGAGGTCAGACACGTTCCAGCGGAACCACGGCTCACGGGTGCATATTATTTTAACCTTGTCTGTTTAGCTTGACGTCTGAGATATATATATATATATATATATATATATATATATATATATATATATATATATATATATATATATATATATATATATATAGCCATGCCCTGATGTGGGGCTGGGGGGTGCGTCAACATGGTCGGGACATAGAAGGGGGTGCGTGGCTAAATAAGTTTGGGAACCGCTGGCATAGACCATCTACTATCTCACCAACAGGCCACAGTGCATGAGGCTGTGTAGCTGCATGTCTGAGGTGGTTGTGTGCAGTACTGTAGCTACACAGGATACGGTGCTCTCACCCTTTCTATTCATCATCTACTCCTCAGACTTCATCTACAACACCAGCAGCTGTCACCTCCAGAAGTTCACGGATGACTCTACCATTATCAGCTGTGTGTCTAGGGGGAATGACCAGGACAGGAGTACAGGTCAGTCATCATGGACTTTGTGGGCTGGTGTGAGCATAACACCTTTGCATGAACATCCATAAGACAAAGGAAACGGTGATCGACTTCCAGAGAAACACTCCCCCTCACTCACCAGTAAACATCCAGGGAGCAGACATTGAGGTGGTAAATACATTTAAGTACCTGGGTGTTCACCTCAACAGTAAACTGAACTGCTCCAACAACACAGAGGTCCTGTAAGAGCCGCCTTCACCTCCCGAGGAGGCTGAGGTCCTTAGGAGTTCATTCCAATCTGCTAAAATCTTTATATCGCTCTGTGGTTGGATCTGTTATCCACTCTGCTGTGGTCTGTTGGGGTGCAGGCAGCGCTGACCGAGACAAGAAAAAAACTGAATATGTTAGTTAAAAGAGCTAGCTCAGTTCTGGGTTGCCCACTGGATTCTGTACAAGTGTGACAGAACAACACATTCTCACTCCCTAAGCGTCAAAAACAAACGCTTGGTCAGCCACCCTCCACGTCAGACCCCTGGCGCCAAAAGTGCCCTTTTTCGTTACTTATGTGCGAAAATGGGTTTTTCCCTTATTTGACTGCAGATATCAATGCAGCGTAAAACTGACGCAATGGGATGTCCGCAGCCAGGGCACCAAACAAGCTCATTGTACCTCACCTTAACCTTATCCTCTTATTTAACCTTCCCCTCACCCCTATCCTAACCTTAACCATCTTGCTAGCGAACACGTTAGTGATGTGTTGATCGCTCTAAAAGCCGGCTCTATGAAGTGAACGGCGGGAGGTGCCTCGTGATTGGTCGAGTTTGGACCGAGCCAACGCGAGGGGGAGGTTTCAACTACCACGGTGGAGGTTAAAAGTAGAGGGTATGTGTAACCTCCCCCTCGCCATATGGTATGTTCTAACTTTACACTTGGGCGGCAAATACGAAAACTGACAGTCAGACTCTGACTGTCAAGAATGCAGGGGAAACAAACGCTTGATCACAGTGAGAGTAACGTTTTAGGTAGCAAGAGGGTGAAGGTTAGGATGAGGGAGAGGGGAAGGTTATAAATAGTGAAACGTTAAGGTTTAGGTGCGGTTAAACGAGCTGGTTCGGTGCCGCATCAGTGGATATCTCATCACGTCAGTGTAACGCTGCATTGGGATCTGCAGTTACAAAAGGGAAAAACCCATTTTCGCACATAAGTAACGAAAAAGGGCACTTTTGGAGTCTGGGGTCTGACGTGGAGGGTGGCTGACCAAGCGTTTGTTTCCGACGCTTAGGGTGTGAGAATGTGTTGGACAGAACAATGCTGGTGAAGATGACCTCCATCTTGGAAAACCACTCCCACCCACTGTATTCCAGTGTGGAGACCATGGACAGCTCCTTTAGCGGTGGATTGAGACACCCAATATTCCCACAGCTGTAAGAGTGTCACTCCAAAGTTGACCTTTACTGGCATTATCAACATCAGTGCAATATTCAGTAAGTGTTCAGTATCCGGATACACATTTGTGTGTCTGTGTCTTTTGTGCTGCTTCTCTTTGGAAATGCAAGTCTCTATATTCTATTTTAATTCATATTGTTTTATTACTGAGGGTTACAATAATAGCCTAATTCTGTATTATTTATTCCCATTCTCTAAGTGTGTGTTTCCTTAAAGAGTGAATTTCCCCACTGTGGGATCAATAAAGTCTATTATCTTCTATTCTACTTAGCAAGGCTAAAATCCTTGTTTCTGGCTGGCAGCAGAGACATCAGGTAACTAAATAATCTTATGGAGAACCAAACCAAATAAAGTTCAGTATTTCTTAAAGATTTTTACACTGAATAAACAGAAATAGTTTTCCTTCTGTGTGTTTCAGATAAATAACCTGTAAATTCAATTTGAATCGTTTTAATATTTCTGGATCACAGTAAAGGTTCATCTTCATCCTCAGTTCAGACTGTTTTACTCAGTGTCCGTATGTCTTTACACATAACTAAGAAATACTTTTCTAGTTGTATTTTTTTTATTTACTGTTTAAACTAAATCAAATTTATAATCCACTGCTGAACTTGAAGGTTTTACAGATTATATGTTAAAGGACAGGAGGTCTTACCAGGAACTGGATTCTCGTAGCTCGGGTTACTCTCTGCAGAAGAGAAGTGATTGTGTTCAAACTGTTTTCAGTAATGCCAATGATTTAGTCTGGACTCATTCTAAAGGACAGAGGAGAATCCTACCAGACTCAGTCGGGGTGTAGGGCCGGAGGCTTCGCTCGCGTTCTAACGAACTTTGGCTAAAGAAAAGGAGGAAGAATTTACTTCAAAATAAAAGCTTTTATCCAGTGGAAGACTCCAGGTCTGAGACATGGAGCTCTGATGAAAACACGTTTTAGATTTATGAATCAAAACGACTCACTGTGGAGTCAGCAGATTGGAGGGCGAGCGGACAGAGCTGTGGTCTGGATGGGGCTGGGCTGCGATTCAGCACAGAGAAAATCAGCATCAGCACATCCTCAACCATCAAATAAACATTTAGTTTGATTTGAAATGCTGACTGATCTACTGGCAGGAATAAGCCCCTGAATGGGGTCAGAACTTGGATGCAAACATTCTGCCATATTTTTCTAAGACAGGCCAGACCTGCAACACTGTCTGGTGGTCTTCGGATTCGTCCAGTTCACAGGTTTGTTTTTACGTCGTGCAGCTGTGCAACATCAGAACAACCTCTCCTTTGGATTTTATATGCTCAGAGGTGTTGCTCCTGAAGTCTTTTGTCTAAATTAAACTTTGCAACCTGAACTGAGTTTTTTACGCAACTCTTCCAAACAAGCCTGACCTTTCAAAATGAACGCTGACCTTTTAGCTAAAAACATCAAAGTTGTTCTGAGATCATCTACAAAACACTTCAAATGCTGGAAACATTTACTAAAAACTCACATGGATGGATGACGATGAATCTAGAGTGTCTGGTGGAAAAATAAAATAAATGAAAAGAATCTGTGAAATTGTGACTGTGGTGTAAAAACATCAGTGTGCTGAAGACTTACGGGAGTTGTTCCTCTGAAGAGATGGTTTGACTGATGGAAACTGGTCAGAGACAAAAGAAACATCAAAGCTAATCGCCAGAAACCAAACATCTGAGTTGGACACCAGAAGTGTGAAACCACTGAAAACCACAAGATGTGATGTTTGATACTGACACCCATGTGTGAAGTGGAGCTTCTTCTCACCCAGCGGACCTTTGGTCCTGCAGTTCAAACAGACAATGGCCAGGAGGACAGTGGCAAAGAAGACAGCTGTCGGCATCAGCAAGGTGAGCCAGGAGATATCCATTGTTCATCTGGGAGTGGAGGGGAGGTTCTAAGGTCAGAACTTTGATTCTGAATGTCTAAACCCAAAATAAGAAGTGAAAAACCAAAGTAAATAAGTCAAAAACCAACAATAAACCCAGTTTAAACATTGGTTTAGAATTCTGATGGTTGTGAGTCAAAAACCTATCCCATGATCTGATCTTTCGTATGTGATACAGCGCAAAGCGGCATGAACGAGCAACAGAGGCAACACGATCTTTAAAGGTCAGGTGTTCATCAATCACAACACCCAGATTTCGAACTGCCTTTGAAGGAGCCAGAGATAGGAAGTCATTTTGGATTGAGATATTGTGCTGTATGGATGGTTTTGCTGGGATGACAAGTAGTTCAGTTTTAGAGAGGTGGAGTTGGAGATGGTGGGATTTCATCCATCTTGATATGTCAGAGAGACAGTCCGAAAGCTGATCTGAAGCTCAACATTTGGCCTTGTTTCCAATCTTGTTTTGTTTATTTCTAACTTTTGCAGGCAGAATCAAACTAAAACATGAAGACAGGATTTTAGAAGAGTTCTACCACTCCAAAACATAATCCTCCCCATTTAACCAACTAGAGGGGACTGTACTCTCACCATTCCTTTTCACCCTGTACATTCAGACTTCCAGTACAAATCAGAGACCTGTCATCTACAGAAATACTCAGATGACTCTGCAGTTGTCGGGTGTATCAGAGATGGACAGGAAGCTGAGTACAGAGAGCTGGTGGAGCGCTTTGTGGCATGGTGTGGAAACAATCATCTGACCTTGAACGTGAACAAAACAAAGGAGATGATTTAAGACTTCAGAAGAAACAGGGTGGAGTCAAACACTGTTTCCATCATGGGAGAAGAAGTGGAGGTGGTTGAGGAATACAAATACCTTGGAGTTCACCTGGACAACAGACTGGACTGGAGAAAGAACAGCGAAGCCGTTTACAAGAAGGGACACAGAAGACTGCACTTCTTGAGGACGCTTAGGTCCTTCAATGTCTGTAGCAAGATGCTGCAGATCTTCTACAAGTCTGTTGTTGAGAGTGTAATCTCTTCAGCCATCGTCTGTTGGGGTAGCAGCATCAGAAGCAGGGACCTGAAAAGGCTCAACAGCCTAATAAAAAAGGCTGGTTCTGTTCTGGGGACGACTGTGGAACCGCTGGAGGAGATAATGCAGAGAAGGATTCTCCAGAGAATCAAGAAAATGATGGACAACCCTGAGCATTCTCTTCACAAGACTGTCCGACAACGGAAGAGTGTCTTCAGTCAGAGGCTTCTTCAGTTTGGCTGCAACACTGACCGCTACTGGAGATCCTTCCTGCCAACAGCCATTGTAATATACAACAACTCTTTGATGACTTGATTATTATTATTATTCTGAGCTACTACAGCAATCAGTTTCCCTCTGGGATTAATAAAGTATTTTGAACTGAATTAAACTGTTTGGACACTTTACCAAACTGATGGTTTGTTTGAAGCTGTAAACAGAACAAAACCACACACAGTTACTTGAATAAGAGTGGTTTTGTAGTTTCCTGAAGCTTCACAGGAAGAAGCTGAGCTATCTTCTGTAGCACACAGGAAAGAAACCCGCGTGACGCATGGTGCAACAGTCGAGTATAGATCTTAACTTTTCCTCTGGAAACGTGAACGCTCCATTATACAGATTCTGTAAGTCTATGGAAACGTGTGCTTCCCATGAGATGGGGACCGACACCAACACCTCCAGACTCATCGTTTCTAGAGCTTCCATCAGAAACTTCTTTCAGTGCAGAGAGACGCCATCTTAGGAGGTGAAACCCAAACGGGTTTCTTTAGTGAGGATGGCAATCAGAAACGATCACAGATATTGAGAGGAAGTTTAACAAGAAAAGGCAAATCACATTTCCTAGATTTCATCTGTTTGATTCTGCTGCTGAACTGGAACGGGTTTTCATGATGATATTCAGGAAAAAGAAATCTGATCAGACAACAACCACATGATGCATTTTCAGCCTAGAATAAACGGAACAAGTCAAACACTGGATGTTCAACCAGCTACATGTCAAAGAATTAGTGATGTTTAACTCATCTCAAGGCCTTTGCTGTTGAAGGTGGAGGAGCAGCCAGAGTCACCAACTCCTCCTAAGATTCAACAGTAAAGATTGAGTCTGAATCAAATCTAAGATCTGTCTGAAGCAAACGTCTAAAAGCTTCTCTGAGTTTGAAACCCGAACTCAGATCCAAGCTGTTCTGGTCCAGTCCAAGCTAGAACCTTGATCAGAACTTCAAGGATTTACTTTGAATCATGGAGACGGAACCTGAGACCAGATCCAAGTTTAAGAAAGGCTCATCGTTGTGTTGGGACTGAAACCAGTTTGTGACTTTGATCTGCAGAAATCAGTTCAACAACGTTCAGTGACTTCCTGCTTCTGGGTGAAAACCCAACTCCAGAAAGACTTTTCTTCCAACAGGTGGCGCATATTTCAGCAGACTTCAAGTTTTACTTCATTTCTGCATCAGAGAGAAAGATGCTGATGGTTCTGAATGTTCTGGTGCTGAAAGTGTTGTTTAGTGCTCTCCAACTGGGTGGCTACATCGTAGCCACAGGGCAGCTGAATACGGGCACCACCAGTCCCTCCGCCCACCAGCAGCAGCCAAGGTGAGTTAAACGTCTAGGCCAAAGACACAACAGCAGCGTTCTTTGTCGAAAGCCAAAATCAAACCTGCAACCTTCTAGTTACAGACCAACATGCTCTACCTCCTGAGCTTCTGCTGCCCCAATATTTAGATTTAATTCAATTCAAGTTTATTTATAAAGCGCCAAATCACGACAAGAGTCGTCTCAAGGCACTTCACATAATAAACATTCCAATTCAGGTCAGTTCATTAAGCCAATCAGAAATAATGTTTCCTATATAAGGAACCCAGCAAATTGCATCAAGTCACTGACTAGTGTCAGTGACTATACAGCAATCCTCATACTAAGCAAGCATAAAGCGACAGTGGAGAGCAAAACTCCTTTTTAACAGGAAGAAACCTCCAGAGAATCCTGGCTCAGTATAAGCAGCCATCCTCCACGACTCACTGGGGATGGAGTGAGGCTGCCGAGCACTGGATCGAGATGTGATGTGATACATCTTTAAATAGACATTTAGTATTTTACAGCTTTACATTCTCCATTTTACATTTTAACTCCAGGTTTTTACAGATGGGGGCATCTAATGACTGTGTATTTACTGTAAAATAAGCAATAACAATGTTAGATGGTCTGTATTATATAGTACCCTTTAGAGCCCAGGGACCCCCCAAAGCACTTTACCACAAAACATTATTGTACACACTGATGGTGGTGGTAGGCTACATTGTGGCTACAGCTGCCCTGGTATACACTGAGGCAGCGAGGCTGCTGTACTCAGGCACCGCTGGTCCCTCCATCACCACCAGCAGGCAAGGAGGGTGGAGTGTCTTGCTCAAGGGCACAAAGACTGAGCAGGACACAACCCTGCTAGCCTTCTGGTTTTAGCACGGACGCTCCTTTACCACCGTTGCCCCAAAAATGACCAATAACTATCAACAATAAAATGTATTTAAATGGTTAAACTAATATAGTTCTGAGAAACTGCTGTTGAGGTTCTTATGCCCAAAACATGTTTATTCTCATAGCTTTAATGTTTCATTCATTGTGGTGATTTTTAAAAATAGTTTTATTCATTCAAATATTTTAAATATAGCTAGAAGTCACGCCTATTTCCTATTAACTCGGTGTAAGCTTGTGAAAAAATTAAACTTTAATTTTTTTAAACCAGGTCAAACCTCAATATCTGATAAACACTGAGCAGGAAATACACCAGAGATATGTTTGCACATTTATGTAGAATACTGCATCATCCAGACATTTAAGGTGGAACTTTCTCATTTTACAGGCGCTCTTGTTGTGACACTAGTTTTTTTTTTCAATTAAAAAAAGACCCTTAAATGTAAAATAAATAAGTTAGTAAAACATTTCCACCTATTAAAACACAAAATGCAATTATGTTGGATTACTGCACAATACCATTTATTCTTGAACCCCCTCATTTTTTTAAGTTTGTTTTAAAAATGTAATATGAAGTAAATAAAATCTGCACTAATCACTATTTTCTTCATTTTCTGAATTTTGTTTGCATCTCTAAAAAAAAATCATCGTTCAAAAACTCATTTCCATCTCAAATCCAACCCTTTTTTCTCTCAGTGATGCTCAGTCACAGTTTCCAAACTCACCTGCTCACGTGGACACACGGCAAGTGAAGAATGAGTTGGATGAAGGGTAGAAAAAAATGGATGAAGACTTGGGGCCTGCAATCGGTCTCGTTCTTAGTATCTGATCCCCTTGAGCACCTACTGCGGTCGAACTCCCGCCATTCTTCACGCTTGTCTGTTGGTCCTCACTGATGGTGACGTTTCTTTATCGACATCTTTGCTCGTCTGTCATTGCTGCACCCAATCAGCTCCTGAATGAAGTCCTCTTAGGCTTTAAGGTGTCAGTAAAGAGTTGGTGAATGTTTGAAAACAGGCTGATTCACTAACCAAGCAGTTACCAGAAAAGTTCAGCAGCGGAGAATCGTGTGTGGGCTGATCAAACTGTCCTCCTTCAGCAGCTTGACTGGAAGTGGTGATGGAAATTTGGAAAAGTTGGCCCAGCAGCTGAGAGAGGTAGAACATAAAAAACTGCTTCACACAAACACCCCCAACCAATCAGAAGGTGTTCCTGTGACACCCCGGAGCATCGCCGGCCGCTCACAAGGTGCAGCTCTATGTGAGAAAAGCTGCTGCAACCGTTTCAACATCCTCCCACCTACAAACAGGAAACCACACCGAGAAAAGGAAGCCGAGTCCTCCTCTACCCCTGCGCTCCACTCCAGCCTCTTTTTCTTATTCTGTTGAAGATTCAGACTTTAGAGGAGAGGAAAAAGAACGAGGAGGACAGAGAAACCCCCAGTAAAGAAGGTGGGTACCTGAGGATGATGATGGAGTTCTTTGGTCTGATTCTGCAAATTTCATTCACTCTACTGATCAAGAAGATGCTTGAAAAGAAGCCGCCTCTTGTTCAAACTTTAACTCTAAGATCAGGTAACTTTAGACCACTGGCCCTCCAACTGGGGTCCCTGGACCTCCAGGGGTCCATGAGCCATAAATTAGTAGTAGTAGTTGTGGAAGTTTATTTAGATGGAGACAATGCATAATTTAGCATTAGCCAGAGAGGAGAGCAGTATTATATCAGGTTAAATCAAAGATGCTCATTTCCACCTGTAGTCCCTGGGCAGGTAGATGTTACAATCACAAACCTGAGAGGAATGTTAACAAATGTCCATGTCATTTACAAAACACGGTGGCACAAGAGTTAAGTGCTCGCCCCGTAATCGGAAGGTTGCAGGTTCGAGTCCCGCTCAGTCTGTCGCTGTGTCCTTGGGCAAGACACTTAACCCACGTTGCCTGCTGGTGGTGGTCGGAGGGACCGGTGGCGCCTGTGCTCGGCAGCCTCGCCTCTGTCAGTGCGCCCCAGGGCAGCTGTGGCTACATCGTAGCTCATCACCACCAGTGTGTGAATGTGTGTGTGAATGGGTGAATGACTGGTTGTGTTGTAAAGCGCCTTGGGGGGTTCCAGGACTCTAGAAGGTGCTATATCAATTACAGGCTATTCACCATTTTACCAAAACCTTTACAAATAATTAATAAAAATTAAAAAGCTAATGCCCAACAGACACACACACACACACACACAAATCTCAGAATTAACCATGTGTACACGCTAGTTTGTGTAAAAGCCCTTTTTTAGTTAGACGTGCAAATGATTTAAGAGTAGTATAATTTAAAATCTCAGAATTTATTACTTTAATAAATAGACAAACATTATAACAATTTCTCAAAGTTCAACATGTCATACTTGGTGAAGATGGAACAATGGTGATACCTCCTGGGTTTCTCACCATGGATCTTAAGCGCACATTTATAGTATAATGACTCAAGAGGCCTCATAACTGTTTTACTGGCTAGTGACCAACTCAGTGTACCGTACAGAAGATTATAGAATTCAGGTATACGTAGGAAGCCTCGGCGGTAATAGACCCTTGTATGTATCTAAAGTTAGCCAGACAAACTTGAGTGTTCCTAAGTTTCTTTAAATAATTTCTAAATGTCTACACGAGGCTCTGTGAAACACACATAGTGGGACCTGAAGACTAAAGCTAAATGGGTTAAATAATAATCACAACCTTAGTTTTAAAAAACTAAAGATATTTTTTTCAGTGACACTTACATGCTCTAGAAAATAAAAATAATGGTAATAATGGCTATAACATTGGGGGTCTTACCCCCATAAGAGGTTCTGGCTGTGGCAGTGTGAGCGTCCTGTCACAGTGTCCCCATTGATCACGGCCCTGGCTACTTGGCCAAGGGGATGTCCCTTTGGCTGACTGGTAAGAGTGCACGACTCTCACCCGGGCCCTCGTTTCTCCCAAGCCCCCACAACGGAGCTCTAAAATTGAGTCAAACCCGGAAGTACCAAAATTTGCAGTTCCACCCTCATCCACTAGGGGCTGGTGTCAGAAGCGAGCAAATCCTCATTGACTCCCATGTTAAAAATACCAATTTCACAGCAGAAATAAACATGTTTACAGCCTGGTACCAGAACATGTTTTTGGTTTAAATGATCTAGTTTACACTCATGACAACTCTGAGGGGGGTGAATGTTTTTCTCACTCTTCTGTTTAAGTGTATTAAAAGCCTAAAATTCTGTATAATTAATGAGCATCAGACCCACGTGACCACAGAGCTAGCTCCGTGGAAAGGCCTCAGTAGAGCCTCGGTCTGGCCTGGAAACTGCTCCGGGATTTGAGTCTCTCTGTTTGTGTATTCTTTTTTGGATATTATTTGTGCAATTGCTGGACAAAATGACTTGCTGTGGTATTAATTGCACTAATAGAGCGTCCAAGGAGTCTCCACTTCATTTTTTTCGGTAAGTAAAATTATATTTATGTATTTTAGGTCACTGCCGAGCTGAGCTTAGATTTTAACATGTACTGTTTAACCATGACATTTAAATGTAATAGGGTAAAACCCAGTGCATTTAACATAATGCTGCACTTTAGAAAATGGGTTGAAATATAACATGCTGGTGGAGCTGCCCGGTCCATCTCTGTCTGATCGCGGCTCCTGTTAGCTGCACGGGCTGGCGGCTGGTTCTCCCCGCAGCTCGGCGCATCTGTCTGATCGCGGCTTCTGTGTGCTGCGCGGGCTGACATGGAGCTCTGGGATGGAAACCTTTCCACAGGTCTCGGGAGACCTCTGTGTTCCACCCGGTTTTACCCAACGGTCAGCCCGGCGTATCTCTGACTCAGAAGCTCTGGTGCTGTGCACAGTTAACTCCGGTTGTAGCTAGGTTGCTACCTCCATTAGCTTAGCTCCCACCTTCGCATTAGCTTTGGGTTAGCTTCAGGTTAGCGTGTAGCTAGTTCGACCGGGTGTCGTCAGTTGATCCCAGCCTTACAGCCCCACCCTCAGCTCCTCCTCTCTTCCCTTTTATGGAATTGTCTGGGCTTGACGGAACCTGTGACACGGTCAAAATGGCGGTGGTGGCCACCTCCCATTTGGCCTCAAAAAACTGATATTGGAGCCTATGGAAAGAAGATGTCCACGTATATTATGTCGATGGTTTCTCCACATTGGCACCAAAATTTTGAAAACCTTTGCAGAACCTTCATGGAAAGGGGACCACGGAGACTTCCATATGGCTTTGAGGAGATTCTGGTCCACCATCTAGTGCCTCAAGAAGGGAGAGCAGTGCACTACCAACACTGTTTATAGTGGGGACGGTGTGCTGCTGACCAGGGCCGGCTTTGTCGACAGGCGACACAGGCGGCGCCATCTAATGGATAGGGCGCAAAATTTCAAAAAATAAAAATAAAAATAAAAAGTTAATTAAATTCATGTTTGTAATATGAAGTGCACTTTCTACATACTCAAAATTCCCCTTTGAAATGACATGAAATTAAAACATCAATATTTAAATTCTAATGATCTGGCTGCATTTCGAGCTCCCGCTTGAGCCACCGCTCCGATGCATTTGACCATTAAGGTTGCCATAGTCATGTGTGTGGGTGGCACTGTAGAAGGACATCCTGTTGTCGTCGCGTTTAAACGTTTGATATTTTACAAGGAAAAGAACGCCTAAGCCATCGGGATCAGCATTCCGAAAGCGAAGGAAGGAAGAAGAATATAAACGGGCCCAAAGTAGAGGTATGTAGACTTTATAAGTTTTGCAAAGGAACTTTTTGCGTTATTATTGTAGCTAACTGCCTCTCCTGCCACGCACGGTCCACGGACGGACCCTCGCTAGCTGTTTACACACACAATACAATATCTGTAACTTTAACCCATTCATTTTACTTTTGAATCGTCGTGTCCAGATGCAGTGAGACAATGTTGAGTCTCACTGTGATGATGAAGAATGTAAGATTTTTTACTGGTTTTTGGAGCTTGATTGCAGCCTTTTATGAACGTTGTTTCAAGTTTTAAGTACACATACAATATGAATTTAATATTTGTATATCAGAAGAACGTTAGGTGTGGGTGTAGCAAATTTTCAACTTTGTCCGACACATCGGGCGGGCGGCACCGCCGCGGCCGTGGCGGGGACTTCCCCGCTGCCGCCGTGCCCGGCGGGGAGTGAGAACTACCCAAACACAGCATGACATCTTATGCCGTCTCTTTCTCGTTTACGCTGCAGCGTCTTCATCCAGGCATCACGCAGCACTGAGCTACAATCTCAACATCTACAACCAGGTGAGTAAGTTGTTAGGCTATTTGTAATCAGCAGTAGAAACGGACTTTTTCAAATTAAACGGCTTATCACATATATCGATATGCAAAATTAATTAATTTGAATCCACACCAGACACGTGTTTTTGGCACAATCAGTGCAGCATTGATTTAGCATTGAGAATATTAAATAATCTGAACATACACATCTGAAATTGTCTCCTTAAGATGTTATTGTCAATTAGGCTGTAAATTTGTAAAAAAAAGGATGGACGTTAGTTTTTGTGACATAGTGAGTCATCTTCAAGGTATAAAGGTTCATGCCCTGAAGAAGGTCTTACCGAAACGCGTCGGTGTTTCCTTGTTTAATAAATGAAATCCTCAGAGTGCCTCAGATCACAGGTTCTTCCTCCTCATATTCTACGATTTATTTGATGCTGAAGAGCACCTGAGAGTGAGACATAAGTTTTTTCAAATATTCCCCACTTCCACCTGTTTTTGATAATTTTATTCATGTTTTCATAGAACATATTAAAAAAGATCAATAAAATAAAAAGTCCAGTAATATTAAAAATAGTGAAAAGCATCACTGCACATGACCGAGGAATATTGAACGTGAAAGTGGCACTGTTCTTAATTCATGCATCAGAGGGTTAAGTTGCTTTGTGTGTGTGTGTGTGTGTGTGTGTGTGTGTGTGTATTTTCTCACAGAAGAAGAACCCAACACCAGCAGACTCAGTGCTCCAATCCAACAGCCTGAAGAGACACCATCATCAGCTTCAACAGATGTGTGTGAACATGTATGAGCTGCTGGCCCCATGGATCCTGCTGACTGGCCACAGCAGTTGAACAAAATGGAAAGTAGAACTTTCTTTATGATGACACTTTGATATTTGAGTTTTGCTTTTGATTGCACAGTTTAATGCTGCTTTTGATTTTGCCCCCCCCAATGACATTTGCACAACATTTTGAGTTGTTGGCTATTGTAATATTCTCAGGTTACTTATCTTTCAAGCTTACATTTATTCTTCAGGCTGTTGACTTTAAAGAGTTGCTGTGTGAATATTTAAAATTAAAAATTAGTAACTAAGGAATAACTGTGGAGTTGCTTTTTCCAATGTGTGGACTTGGGTTTGGGTGAGAGGCGGGGTGGGGGGGGGGGGGGCAAATGGGCACTCTCGCCTTGGGCACCAAATTACCCAGAGCCGACCCTGCTGCTGACCTCTACTCAGGATGTTGTGGATCTGTGGCCGGAATACTTCGACGAACTCCTCAATCCCACCGGGACGTCTTCCAGTGAGGAAGCAGAGGTCAGGGACTCGACCTGGGTTGAACTCTTCAATCTCGGGGGCTGAGGTCACTGAGGTGGTCAAAATCCACCTGGAGGCTCTAGCTGTTGTAGGGCTGTGTTGGTTGACGTGGCGTTGCAGTATCACGTGGACATTGGGAGCAGTTCTACTGGACTGGCAGACTGGGGGTGGTGGTCCACCTATTAAGGGGGACCACAGGGTGTGTTCCAACCACAGAGGGATCACACTCCTGAGCCTCTCTAGTAAGGTCTATTCAGGGGTTCTGGAGAGGAGAGTCTGTCAGATAGTCTTCGGACTCAGGAAGAGCAATGTGGTTTTTCAGCATCCTCCTTTCACACATCTCCTCTACTGAATCCAGTGGGCAGCTCAGAACTGAGCTAGCTTTGTGAACTAGCTTGTTCAGTCTCTTCCTGTCTCGGTCAGAGCTGCCTGCACCCCAACAGACCACAGCAGAGTGGGTAACAGATCCAACCATAGAGTGATAAAAGAATTTTTGCAGTTGGGAATTAACTCAGAAGGACCTCAACTTCCTCAGTAGATGGAGGCAGCTTTGACCCTTCGTATACAGAGTATGTATGAGGTACCAGTCCCTCTGATAGGGACTGTTAGGTCCCTGTATGACTGGTGTCAGAGCTTGATCTGCATTGCTTTGCAATCAAACTCATTACCGGTGAGAGGTGGACTCTACCATGGCTCAGTAGTGGTTTTACCATTAGGCATAGGTCGGCGGCTGCCTGGGGCCGCCTTATGTTGGGGGGCCCACTAGTCCTGACTGCTGGCACCCCTCCGTTAATGCCACAATGGACTATTCCTTAAAGACGCCGGCGCACAAACAGGAAGTGATTGGTAGTCATTCCAGTCCAATCCAGTTGGTGGCGGTAATGCACCAAATTGTTGTTTGCCAAGTGCCATAAGACCACAAATAAGAAGAAGAAGAAGAGAAGCGGGAGCGTTCGCAACAAATTCTAAGCGATAGTCAAAACATGAAGCATGAAATGGAGTTATCCTAGTGGCTCCAATAAGAGAAAGATGCTGCTTGCTTTAAAAAGCCTTTATCTTCACTTCCATAAGTGACGTTGTTTTTCAATGTAAACATCAAAAGGAAGCAGAAAAGGAAAGACAATGGAAAATGTTTAAAGGGAGGAAAACAGACCAAAATGGAAAATAGAAGGGAAAAAAAGGCAAAAGCACAGGAGCACTGACAGGAAGAAGAAAGCAGAGCAAATATTGAAGGGACTCAAAGGGAGAGAAAGACAGGAAAATAAAAGAGGACTAATTCCATTTACATTTTATTTATAAAGCACATTTCTACACGGCCAAGGCCATCAAAGTGCTGCACAGTAAAAGAGCATAAAAATCAACACACAGGAAGAAAGTAATAAAAGCGGCACAGTAACTACTATAAAAACAATAAAAAGTGAAATGACTCATGTCAGAAGCGGGTAGCATTTCACAAATCCAGTTAAAGATAAGACTGTCGATTATTTAGTGTAAGGGGCCCCATGTCTGTGTTCACCCTGGGCCCCCAAATTGCGAAGGCTGCCCTTTGTCACCGATTCTGTTCATAACTTTTATGGACAGGATTTTTAGGTGCAGCCAAGGTGTGGAGTGAATCCATTTTGATGGTAAGAGGATCAGATCTCTGCTTTATGCAGATGATGTGGTCCTTTTGGCTTCACCAGAAAGTGATCTCTGGCTTTCACTGAAGCAGTTTGCAGCTGAGTGTGAAGCAGCTGGGATGAGGATCATAGAGATAACTCACTCTCTGCAGGTGGTCTCATCCTTCCAGGGTCATTTTAGCACATAATGGCTCAAGAAAAGGATTTAAAACTATGAAAAGTTGCTAAGAATCCCTTTAAATATGTTTCATTCTTGTGCTTCCTGACACATTGCAAATAATGGTGGAAAATAAGTATTTGGTCTTCTACAAACAAGTAATACTTCTGGCTCTCACAGACCTGTAGCTTCTTCTATAAGAGGCTCCTCTGTATTCCACTCATTACCTGTATTAATGGCACCTGCTGGAACTCATCATCAGTGTAAAAGACAACCTCAAAAAGTTACACTCCAAACTCCACTCTGGCCAAGACCAACGAGCTGTCAAAAGACACCAGAAACAAAAGTGTAGACCTGCACCAGGCTGGGATTATTGAATCTGCAATAGGTAAGCAGCTTGGAAGAAATCAACGGTGAGAGCTAAAATTTGAAAGTGGAACACATACAAGACCACTGATAATCTCCCTCCATCAGGGGCTCCATGCAAGATCTCACCCTGTGGGGTCAAAATGATCAGAACGGTGAGCAACAATTCCAGACCTAGTGAATGACCTGCAGAGAGCTGGGACCAAAGTTACAAAGACTACCATCAGTAACACACTACGCTGCCAGAGACTCAAATCCTGCAGTGGCAGACATGTCCCCCTGCTTAAGCTAGCACATGTGCAGACCCATCTGAAGTTTGCTAGGGAGCATCTGGATGATCCAGAAGAGGACTGTGAGAATGTCATGTGGTCAGATGAAACCAAAATAGAACATTAAGGTAAAAACTATTCATCATGCTTGGAGGAGAAAGAATGCTGAGCTGCATCCAAAGAACACCGTACCTACTGTAAAGCATGGGAGTGGAAACATCATGCTTTGGTGCTGTTTTTCTGCAAAGGGACCAGGAGTACCACTGATGTAAAGGAAAGAATGAATGGGGCCATGTATCATCAGATTTGAGTGAAAACCTCCTTACTTCAGTGAGGGCATTGAAGATAAAAAATGGCTGGATCTTTCAGCATGACAATGATCCCAAATGCACCGCCCGAAAAATGGAGTGGCTTGTAAGAAGGTCCTGGAGTGACCTAGCCAGATCTCCAGATCTCAACCACGTCGAAAATCTTTGGGGGAAGGTAAAAATCTGTGTTTCCCAGCGACAGCCCCAAAACATCACGGATCTAGAGATCTGCATGGAGGAATGGGCCAAAATACCAGCAACAGTGCGTGAAACCTTGTGAAGACTTACAGAAAATGTTTGATCCGTCTTTGCCAATAAAGAGCCTATAACAAAGTATTGAGATGGACTTTCATTAATTAAAAACTTATTTTCCACCATAATTTGCTAATAAATACTAAATCAGACTGTGTGATTTTCAGGATTTTTTTTTCTCATTTTGCCTCTCAGTTGAGGTTTAGCTATGACGAACATTGCAGGCCTCTCATCATCTTGAGTGGGAAAATTTGCACAATTTGAAGCTGACTAAACATTATATGTTAGTCCTTTTATCATTTTCACGTTCATGTTACAATAAAATAACAAAAGTCACATATACTGGTTATATTTTGTTATTTTAGAAACACAAATATTAAATTAATGAAGACGTTTGCAGTGTTGGATTGAAATGTCATTCTAAAAAATATTATTTGGTGACTTGTTTTGTTTTGATCTGCATCTTTCATGAAGTCCAAACATCTGACAAGTTAAATCTCATTTAATAATTCACAAAAAGAAACTAAATTAATTTGAGATTAACATTAATTTAAAAGCATATGTTCTTTTTTAAATAGCTGTGATTGTAACAGCTCAGTTCTAACCTGAAGGGCGACGTTACTCTAGAAAAAAATACAAATAAAAACTGTTTCCATCACCTACAAACTTCACTAAACCAAAAGAAACCAAACAGTAACAGAGTTAAAAAAGTTCTGAAGCAAAAATATTTCCTTCCTCTTGAATCGGAATTTCCTTCTTGCTGTTGCAGGAAGTTCTCTTATTAAAATTATGTACAAACATGTGATATTAAAGGTATTAATGAAGTTATAAAACAAGGCTACATGTTGTTATAGTGATGTGTGGCTGATCCCAGATCAGTCGGAGTCTTTAAACTGATAAATGAACAATGAAGATGTTCATCATTTACGTCTGGAAAACAGGACCAGATGGTTCTCCGTAAGTCTTCTGGGCATGACGCGTCGATTAAAACTGTCAAATAAAAACGGTCTTTGTTACAGATTGTCCAATCAGGAGGGAGACAGGTCAGATCAGGACACTGGACACAGACACGTGAGCGGACCGCCCACTTTTTGGCACGACGATCGGCTCGTCAGCTGTTAGAAACAAACACAACAATGTTCAGATGTTAAAAGGTCCATAACCAGCTCTGAAGTTTTCAGGTAACAAGGAAACATCAGCAGTCGTTGCTGCCCATCAAGCTGGTAATAATGCATCTATAATAACAACAACACATTTTATTTAAAAGCTCCTTTCAGGACAAGGTGACCCAATAACAGCGTACATAAAAGGGTCAAAGGTCATCTGGAGATCCATCATTCTACTGAGAGGAAAAACATGATAACGTGGAATGTTTTTACATCCTGATGCAAAAAACCTTTGGGCTTAAGTCACGCTTCAGGTGCACCTCACCTGATGGGATGTACTTCTCAGCTCGATTGCGGTCTTTCTCGATGAAAAGAGCTGTGAAAAGGAAGAAGGCTCCGCCCACCACAGCCACGAAGGAGCAGAGCAACAGTGAGATCTGCAGAGAGCGGAACTGCCAGAGGAACGAGTCGGTCTTCCTTAGTGAGTCGGAGAACTAAAAGAAAAGGAAGTTGGTTTTAAATCAGTAAAACTACAGAAGTTAAATTTACAAGTCTGATTCAAACAGCCAATCGGATCGCTTTATTTACGGGGTTTTTCTGGCCGTTAACAGTCTCACCTCTTGTAGCCGTCTGTCTGACAGCTGCAGGTCTCCCATTAGGAACCTTTCATTAACAAAAGCTATAAAGGTGTGAAATAGAACCCACCACTCCAATCAGGGACGGACTTCCTGCGTCTCCCAGCAGGTGAGAGACCACAATCTGCAGAGCCTCGGCTGTGGAGCGCCGTGTTGGGACGACCACGTACTGAGAACAGAAACAAGACCGAGTCACAAGAAGGAAACATCTGAAGAACCAGAGCTCATCTGGAACCGTCAACATAGCAAGGTGCTTTCATACTGAGGGACAGGAGCTCTGGAGTGCATCAGGAGTTTAAACACTAAACTGGTTTCAGAGCCTCACCAGCAGGATGTCAGCTACGATGGCCCAGTTCATGGACAGAAACGTCTCTCCAAGGAAAATGAAAATCTGAGAAAACAAAGATTTTCTTAGAACAACTTGTGCAGAGCTGATCTTTCCTGCAGTGGATTCATCTCCACCTCTGAGATTGTCCCAAACCCCCTGACCCTCATTCTTCCAGGTGGAGTTCTGTGCTTGCGGAGCTTTGATAACTCACGTATGTGGCAACAGTGCTGGTCTGAGCACACACGATGGCCAGGTAGAGGAACGGTGCTGACAGCAGCAGACCAGCGGCACAGACCAGTGGGTCGGCTCGAGCCGTCTTCTTCCTTAGTTGCCGACTCACCTGCACGCCGCTGGCCACGCCCAGCAGGCCAGTGATGACAGTGATGATCCCAAAAATCAAACTATGGTGGGAAACACTGCAGTTACGTCAACTGTGTTATTGAAAGATGTAGCATAGTGACAAGGAAGTGAACTCACCTGTCTGAGGAGGAGCACTGAGCCTCATCCACACACGGAGGTTTCTGTCCCGTGAAGACAGCGGCTCTATAAAGGAATGTGGGCGCCCACAAGGCCAGAGACCCCGTCACAAACGCCACAGCTGTGAAGCCTAAGGTAGACAATATGAAGCTGCAGCTGGGGACGGGGACAGGGACAAGTCAGCAGTGCAGAACTGGGTCATCTTCTTCAGGGGTCTCATTTATCAAACATGGCGTAGAATCCTTACTAAAACCGTACTTAAGCTCAGCAACAAAATGTTCTTACGCCAAGCAGGTGTGTGACCTATCAAACATGGAGGACGCACAGCTGCACGCAGTCTCCACTTCATAAATCAGAGACTAACGAGAATGTTTCTCAGCTGCATTTTAGTCACATCCCGCCCTCACCACGCCCACTTACTGCCATAAATGGTCAATGCAAAGTGCCTTGTGGACCTCATGCATATACATAAGCCGGCTGTTGCAGCGCTCCGCCAATGACATGGCGACCGTAGATCAAGGCAGATCAAGGAAGCGCTATTTCACAGAAGCAGAAGTTGAGGTACCTGTGGGTGAGGTGGAGAAATGAAAGGAAGTACTTTTGCAAAACAAATAAGAGAAAATCCACGGAGTGGCACAGCGTTGCTGAAGCCGTCAATGCTGACTTCTTCAGAGAGATCTGTGGCGGATATAAAAAATGGTCCGATCAGGATTCGATCCCCAGACTCCCGGGTGAAAGTCACACACGCTAACCAGTCAGCCAAACAGAGATCTCCTGAGTACAAGTAGCCAGGTCACATGATCAATCGGGTCACAGTGACAGGACACACACCGTCACAGACGCATGACGTTCTGTCTCAGTCTGTCCCCCTGCTGATAAGATAATGCTGCAGGATTTCATAATTGTATCTTTTCAGCAGCAGCACTGCAGGTGCTCTCCATGTCCAGCATGTGCGTAAGCCAGGTCCTTAGTCAACTTAAAGTTGCGCACATTTTTCCACTTACTTTTCTTTCATAAATCCCAAAGTTTGCGTGGAAAGCTGTTTACGCAGTTTCCCGACCCCGTTTTGTGCGTAAGCAAGCTTGATAAATGAGACCCCAGGTGAGGAGTAACATACTTCCTGCTCAGTTCCCGCAGGTCGGTCAGCCAGCTGGTCTGGTGCATGTCTGACCGGGCCTCCACCGCTCCTCTTTTAGGCTCCTGGACCACAAACAGCAGCAGGACCACAGCGACCAGACCGAGACCCGGGGTGACCTGATGGAGGAAAGAGCACCTGAGTTTAAAGGTCTTCCGCCGCACTGCAGGTGACAACATAAACATGAACGTTTTGAGCTCACCCGCAGAGCCGAGTGCCAGTCCTTCGTCGCACTGCTGACCTGAGAGCCGACGATGTACCCGAGACCACTGGAACAACAAGCACAGGCCATCTGCTTTTCACGCTGACAGGAAGTCATGTGCACCATCACCAGTCCCCCGAAACAACAAGGATCATCAACGTCATGATGTTCCATCTTTTTAATAAAATACCTCATTTTGTTTTATCATTTCCAAATGTTCCAAACTTAAAAAATAAAAGCAAAACGTCTTTTCTGCTTTTTGATGAAACAGTAAATCGTCTCTGCAGCCTGAAAAATGTAGTCAGTGTTTGCATTTTTCTGAATAAAATAAACTTTAAAGTCATTAAAAATGTACAAAATCTGAAGATTTGCCTTGTATATATATATATATATCTGTGACAAACCAGCTTCAGTTAAAAGGACACATTGTGTTGGTTACAGCCTGTTTGGTTTTGACTTTTAGGGCCTCACCCTAACCCGACCCTCAGCACACCAGTAAAGTCTTGATCCCTTATTCCTCTGGTCCCCTAAACCCATTTTAAAGATCAGGGGATCTTTATTTCAGGCCGTGGCACAAAGTACCTCATAAATAAAATTTCTTTACTTAATAATCACAATAAACAAGTCACAGATAGTCTGAGTGTGTGTCTGCAGGAGACTGACCTGCCAACAGGAATAGCAAAGTAAAAGAGGGACAGCATGTTGGTCCTCTTTTCCTTGATGTAGAGGTCAGCGATGATGGTGGGGGCGATGGTGGAGTAGCTGGCCTCCCCGACTCCAACCAGACCTCGAGTCAGTAGCAGCGCCCAGAAGTGCTGCAGCCAGAAACAGGCTCACCATCAACAACGCAGACGCTTCTGCACGTTTAGGACCGACCACTGGATAGTCTGAGTCACATGACATCCAGCTCCCTGAAGATGCCCCAACATTCGTGCCGAATTTAACGACACTGGAATAAGGTGTGTGTGTGTGTGTGTGTGTGTGTGTGTGTGTGTGTGTGTGTGATATTACATCATGAACAGTCTGATCATGAGGTATTTTAAATTCACGATTATCTCCAGATTTGCTCTGAGCGGGTGAACTACACTACATGTAAACCATAAAGGAGTTGATAATTAGCAATAAAATGTTTTTTTATTTATTTTAGGACAAACAGAAAAATGTTGAGGTTGTAATGTTCAGTAACTTCCAAAATAGCAACAAAAATAGACAGAATTTTGTGAAAATTGTGATTTTTATTAAAAGATCATTTAAATCCACACATTTGATCATATAGCTCTCTTGTAGTTCAGATTATGCTAAATGCTAATGAGGCTAACAGCAGAAAATCTGTCTGAGCTGCATTTAGGATTTGTGCCACCATCGATACGAAGGAAAACAAAACCACAGCAGCTCCTGCAGCAACGCTGCAAATCGTTAAAAGATGCAGCAAATTAAAACAATCCTGGCTTCCATCGTCTCCAAACAATCCCAGAGAAACCAGTCAGTGTTTCAGACGGTGACGTCCAGTGTGTGCAGCAGCTGCTGTTCCCTTCATGGGGAAATATGAATGTTATTTGTTCTGCTTCTTGTTTTCTGACGACGGTTTTAATGATCGACACCTGCAGCAGCTAAACTATCATGACTGAGTCTGAAATCTGGATCTGTCTGGGCGTTTATCACCATCAGCCTTATATTCATCAGTTTCCTCTGCGGCAGCAGTCTGAGTGAACACATGAATGTTGCCACAAACAAGCATGAGTTCATAACTCTGTAGGCAATCTGACTCCAAGCAGAGCGCCTCGGGGCACAACCAGAACATGGATACACATGATGCTTGTACTCTCAGCCTTTACTTCCTGTTCCCGTCAGGAAAAAAATGAACTAAAAACTAAATTATTCATCAGGATAAGACTGAATAGATTAAAACTAATTCTAATTACTGCTATTTTGTGTTAAGTGAAAAACTATTTAGAGGAAAATTCTCCCATATTTCTGTCGTCTAATCTCTTCTAAGTCTGGTTAACTCCATTTTTAACAGTGACTTTGGTACAAAGTAGCACGTGAACCCTGGCGTAGCGCGGCCTGGATCCTATTTTAACATCCGACGCACAAAAGTCTTTATTACAAATTAAAAATGGCTTCTGCACATCAAAACATTTGCAGTGGACTCTAGTAGTCCTTCTCTGTGGAATAAAGCTCTGGCACTCTTGTTTCAGGGAGTAGAGGGTAATCGGGGGGGGGGGGGGGGGGGGGGTCTGCCCCCTAATTCACACTGGAAGCATCAGCAGAATGCAATCCACTATAATCTATGGGGCGATTCAAACCAGCTGCGATGCGGAAAGTTTCAGGCACGTCCCAAAAGTGGATCGCTGTGCCGCTGAAGGTTAGCCTGGCCCGCCAGACTCGTCCTCTGTTTAATTCTGCACAGAGACCTTCTCTGAGGGACAGGAGCTCTGGAGTGCATCAGGAGTTTAAACACTAAACTGGTTTCAGAGCCTCACCAGCAGGATGTCAGCTACGATGGCCCAGTTCATGGACAAAAACGTCTCTCCAAGGAAAATGAAAATCTGAGAAAACAAAGATATTCTTGGAACAACTTGTGCAGAACTGATCTTTCCTGCAGTGGATTCATCTCCACCTTGATTCATACAGCTCAAATATGAGCCGTGCAGAATGAAACAGAGGAGGAGTCTGGCAAGCCAGGCTAGCTAAAGATAGGATCAGGTTCTGTTTTAGCAGCCAGCTGCTTCTGGGACACACCTACTTCTGCACTTAACATAGGGCTAGACAGGAAATCACACGGTTTCAGTGTAAAACGTCCATTAATTTTAAAATTAAAGACTTTTGCAGTGATGCTATTTCATATCTATGTAGATTATGTCTATACAAGTGACCTCATGACTTATTTCCTCCCTGCATTGTTCCAGAAGTGACCTGACAGCAGCCAGATCTCTATGTGTAGCCCCGCCTTGTCGAGTCTACAATTTCTCCTAAGTTTGTAAAACTCCAAATCTCGCTAGAATTCATCTTGCAGCGCAAGGTTATTCCAGAAGTGCTGCGGTGTGTTTTTCATGGCTTCAAAGCTTCTTTCCGGAGTATTCCTCTTATCTGATGACACCATCTAGTGGCCGACAAGCGTATCACACAAGAAGTCTGTCTTCATGTTTGTTTATAAACGTGCTTCTGTAGCCGACAAACAGCTAAAACACGTTTTACGAGTATTATTCTCATGTCATGTTGTGTTTTCATATATTTATAATTTAGAGACTTTCTTATCCGTGAAAAGATCATCAACTCTGCATCAGCCGAGGTGTTCCTTACATTTGAAGCGTGTCAGCGACAGTCTAACGCTATTGTTTGTTCTGGTCGGCGCTCAGTTTCCTATTGAACGGAGCTCTGCGGGGCAGGGGGCGTGCTTAGCAAATAAATAAAAAAAAAGACGTTTTGCTAAATTACATCACAGTACATGATGAGATCATCACTTTTAAGGATTTCTGACAAATCACACATAATTTCTGAAAGGGGGAAACTCCAAAATGCTGCTTTAATCCTGGCAGTGGAGAGGAACGACATCATACCAAACGGTGCTATCATACGTCATTTCCTTCTTTTTGGTTTGATGGTGGACGGCACAAACAAACCGTGACCTTCGAAATCTCGGGGGATTTTGTGATCTCACAGGTCCAGCGAGGAGGATGGCAGAGAAGCCGTTCCATGGCTGAGATTCCCCCGGTGTGTACTGAAGAGCAGCGAAGCCTGCGAGCAAACTGTTGTCCGCCATTAATGCCTCAAGCATGAAGTAGGGGTTACTCATAATTATTCATGATATTCTGACATCTCACATTTCTGATTGGCTACCATCAATGTGACTCTTCCACTACCTCCATTGGCTTTGTAACGGTGACATCTGATCTCCACATAAAACAGGAGTTCTGCCATGTTGTGGAGTTGCTAATAATAATAATAATAATAATAATAATACATTTTATTAAAAGCGCCTTTCAGAACACCCAAGGTCACTTTACACAAAACACGTAATAAAATACAATAAAACAATAATAAAACGCAAAGAAGAAAAAACAAAGAGAGAAACAGTTCAATAAAATCAGAGGTTGTAGGCAGATTTAAACGTGTGTTTTGAGTTTGGTTTTGAAAAGGGTAAAACTGTCGATGTTCCTGATGTCTGGGGGAAGTGAGTTCCAGAGTCGAGGAGCAGAGCGGCTGAAAGCTCTGCTCCCCATGGTAGCGAGACGGGCAGAAGGAACCGCAAGATGGATGGAAGAAGAAGATCTGAGAGAATGGGATGGGGTGTGAATACTTATAAGGTCTGAGATATATGGAGGAGAGAGGTCGTGGATAGCTTTGAAGGTATGAAGGAGAATTTTGAAGATGGACCTGAATTTAACTGGGAGCCAGTGAAGCTGCTGGAGAACCGGGGTGATGTGGTGAAAGGAATGCTAACAGTTAGCTTCTCTGCTCTCTCCTGGACGCTAAACCAACAACAGCCTTCTGCAGTCATGATGAGTCCATGAATGTTTGTTTACAGCCTGACAGATCAGTGTGAGTTTTCCTGACCCAACCGTTCCCCCGTCTATTTTCTTTTAGCGAATAATGCAGGCGGTGGGGGTAGAGGAGCGTTTTCACATTCAGCATGCATGTGAAAATAATGTGACCGATGACATTTCAAAAATAAGTATTTTAAGTTTCTCAGTGACCCTCGTGTTTACAATAACTGAGAATAAATAAGACTAGCTGTGTTTATTTAAAAATTGACTGCAGCTGTAAGGTACTGTGGCAGTGTGGGTTCAACGTAAAAACAATCCTAAGCCCTCCTTGCTGACTTACTTTCTAAATACCCAACCCCTCAGGGACTTAACGATGGGAGAACCCGGAAATCCACAGGAGGAAATGTGGAAGACCGTAAGGCTTCACTCACCTCTTTGGGTGTGTAAGAACTGGCGAGTGTCACAGAGGACCAGAACAAGATGCCAGCACTCATGATGTACTTCCTGTTGTACCTGTCGCCCAAGTACCCGAAGAATGGAGCCAAAAACATGTAGCTGCAGATAAAAACTGAAACACAGAGTGAGATTTATTTAATAAAAGTAGGACATAACGATCTGTGGCATGAGAAGCAAACAAGTTTCTAAGCGTTTCTCTGATGGACAGACATTATTAAACATAAGTGAGAGACGGTGTTGACACGGGGTGACGCTGAATTCAAACAGACAAAAGGTCTGTCACCATTCAGTTACTGAGGCTGTTTAGTTTGTGGTGAAAACATCTGGCTGCTACTGGTGATTCTGGGCAGTCGTCACCCGTCCCATTCCCGGTGCTGGAGGTTTAACCTTCTTGGGTGGAGTCTTCTCACCTGTTTGTAGTAGACCAGAATTTCCATCGTCAATTCCAAAGTACTGCTCGATGTCAGGGAGAACACCTGGAGAGACAACAGAGCCAGATCTCAGAACTTTCCAGAAAAACTGTCTAAAGAAAACTTTTAAAAGTCATAATTATTTTTTCTCTAATTTTCCAGACTTTCTGTGATCTGTTAAACTGCTTCTAGATCAGCATTTCTACAGACTTTCTGAGGCTCTGAAGGAGGTTCGGCTGATTTTTCTCTCTGTGTGCGCAAACATCTTCAGAGGGATATTTAGTTTTAAATTCAGACAATTCATCATGTAAATTAGGGCTGGACCATATGAAAACAGCATATTGATAAAAAATGTCATATTGGTCAAAATCAATAATTATTGAGAAATAAAAATGTTGAAAATGGATTTTAAGTGCAGCTCTGATCATTTCATGTCATTACTTTATTATTAAAACAAGTTGGTTGTGTTACCAGACCTCGCTTTTGTCCATTTTCAGCTAATTTAGCAAATGATTGTTGTTTGTTTGTCAGATTTGTAAAAATCTAAATACTGCCATACTGGTGAACTAGTGTAAACACTTTCTGGAACTATTTTCTCCACCTCTCCTGGGTTTGAGAGGGGAAGGCTTGGCAACGAAGCATGCCTGGGTCTGTTTTTTAACTGATTACGGAAAAAAGAAAAGAAACTTTTAGTTAAAGTTTTTAATGACACATTCTTTTTCTATCGCACCGCGCTATTAATAGATATATATCATTATTCCATTACTGTCCAGCCCTAATGTGAATGTTTACTTTCAGAGACGATGTTAGACCCAACAGGAGAACCTGCTGTTCTGCTCGGTACCTGCTACAGTGAACCGATCCATGTAATTGAGCAGGTTGATGTAACAGAGGGTTAAGACGATCAGAACCGCGCGGACCCGGGACACCCCACTGGCCTCCTCTTCAGGATGCTGCTGAGCATCTGGTCCGTTGGGACCCTCCGCCTCGCTGTCATCGGAGAAGAGTGGTGCCGAGTCTGATGTGTGTTCATCCAGAGACATGACTGCTGCAGCTGAGGAGGACAGCCACCAAAACAGAAGATTAGTGCATCATTTAAACGTGTTTCTGTCTCTTTTTTAACCTAATCTCACGAACATGGAAGCTAAATGTTGATTCAACTGTAGAATCCTGTTTTCATTCAACGTTTTAAATGACACAATAACGCCGTGTCTCCTCATATACACCGCTGTTTAAAACATCGATCACTCGCTCCAACAGAAGAAGCACATGTTCACCATCAGAACTCCTCCAGTCAGACAAGATGAACAAGATCACGTCAGCATGAAAGAAGCACCGACTCAGCTGCTGCAGAGCGGCGTTAGTGCGCAGACGAGAGAAAGAGGAAAAAGAAACCAGACTCGTGATGGCTGACATGGACCTCCATGTGAAACCAGTTTCAGGGAGAAGAAGAGAAGTTATTATTTCATAGACGGTCAGATCCCCGCTGCAGACACCATACGGCCTAAACCTGACACAAAACAACCCCAGAATAGACACTAGAACAACAAAGTTACACAAAAACCACTGTAAATAGATGGAGAAGGACATAGACCTGAATACTAAACACTGACATCAGACTCACATTATTTATACTTTATTACAATAATAACAACTCTTACAGAAGAAACCCAAAAAGACTACATTATGGTGTAAAAGTCCATTTATGTCAGTAATCCATCTTAGACTGAGAGACCATCTAAAGGCTCAGGAACCCTTTGCAGGTGTTCTGGCTTCATTAGCTAGTTGAGAGTGCGACACTTTGAGGCTAGAATATTGAACCTTTTCACAATACTCTAAATGTCTGAGATTGTGAAAGTGGTGTTTTCATCAGCTGTAAGTCATGATCATCACCGTTATAACAGATAAAGGCTGAAATACCTGGCTTTACAGGTAAAGAGGCTGTCTCATTGTTTCACTGGCATCATTCTGCAGGTTTCACCTGCATTATTCTGAGTTCATGTAAAATCTTTACTTCCTACACAAAAACATTTATTTTCTAATCTGGACAGCTGGACACCATGATTAGCATGTTTCTTTATGCATGTTTTAGAAGAAAACCACCTTTTGTGATGACATTATTTAAATTATTCATCTGAAACTGAGGTTTGTTCATCTACAGATGAATAGAAGTCTCACGGACACGCTGATGATTTCTGCTGAAACCTGATCTAATCCATCAGATCTGACCTAAAACAACAACATGTAGATTTCAAAAGCACCGAATTTGAAATGACCTCTTGGGTTCTTTTGAACCCGTCTTGTCCTTTGACCTCTACAACCGCCACGAGCACGGACATCGATGAGAGATCAGCTGGTCGGCAGCAGCAGATAGCCGCTGCACCAAACTCCATTCAGAAATCTAACGATTTAATAAACACCAGTCTGCAGGACCTGTTAGGCATCGCTTTAATGGACGAGTCGTGATTTAAAATATTTAAATTTGCCTTCTGATAATTAATTAAAACACGTGACTTAAAACATCTGAGTACCTGCAGGAAAAGCCGCAGTTGTTGTTTACCTTCCTGTGAGGATGACTCGCGATCCGCGTCCGTTACTCCTTCTGCTGCCGGTGTAAAGTCTTCTAACTCAAAGTTATAAAAGCTATTCAAAGCCCATGTTGTCGGTTCAACGTTAGAACTACACGTTCACCAGCGAGGAGGAACTGCGGTCAAAACGTGGATGTTTTTCCACCGACCTGCTCAGAAGCGAGGTTTTTCCACCGCCGCCATAACAGGTCTGACTCAACTTCCGCCCCGCGGCTCACATGACTGTCAGCACGTCACGTGACTGAGTCCGTGAATGGTAATGCTGCCGTTTGGTACGTTTCTGATAAGGGTTAGATCTGACTGCATGCTCTCTGTAGCTGATCTAGGTCCCCCTGTGAAGACGAGCTGGTTCATTCTAAACAATGCAGCATCAAACACGGTGGTGGCAGCATCATCATATGTGGAAGACTTTGAGAGTAAAGGCCAATAGAAAAGAATGGCATCTTTCACCCCTCCTACCTGTAAGGTGATATTTGCCCCAATTCCTCAGTAGCATCATTCCAGATACATAATAATTAATTAGTCATATTCCATTAGATAAATTAATGCAATTGAGCTGCACGTGTTTTGTGTGTTAAGGGGTAAGGGATGTGGTGTGTTGAGCGTGTAAAGAGTTTAACGCTGGTTGTGTATGATTGATGTTTGAAGGCTGTTTTTTTTTCTAAAATGTAAATACTATTTCTTCTTCACTTTGTAAACATGAAAGTCCCACAAGTAAATGGCCAGATGCCAGATCAACGTACAGAACATCTCTGGATGGAGCTGAACCTGTGAACAAGTCCAAACAAGTGGCACTTTCGGCCAAAAGAACAAGCAAACCCCTCATTAAAACGCCATTTCTGGTTGTATTTTTATTTTTTGTATCTCACTGAAATGTTCTTAAAGGGGTCATCGTGGGATTATTGAAGTCTTTACAATGCGAGATCAGAAGAGTACGAGGTGTTGCTGATGCAGTCTTCTTCCATTAATTATCATGAATGTTGGCTAATAAAACTACTGGAAGATCCATCAGGAAGAATTAAACTGGACCCAAGACAAAAACTCAGAGGAAGATATCTTTTATTTATTGAAACAAGATATTTTACATAAAAAAGACCTTCAAAAATGATCGTCTACATTTCATGTGACAGCATTTTGTTTTTCTCTTCAGTTTAACGTTAACATTACTTGACAAACTACCTGTAGTTTAAGTTGGGTTTTGTGTAACTAAGTAGATTTTATGAAGTTAAAGAAGAAAACTGGTCCACAAATAATGTGTTTACGGTAGTTTTTAATGTTTCCTAGGGAGAAAAAACCTTTTGGTTGGCCTTCTCAAAACCTCCCAAAATGTTGAATAAAACGATAAAAGTGAGAAAGAAACAAAAGAACTCAAAAACGTTCCTGTAGGTCTGATTTCTACCCGTAGGAGGCAAGAAGGGCCTCAACACGCAGGTTTCAGATCATCACACCTCAAGAGTTTTCTTCTCGTTTTGGATTTAAAGATTCTGCTGGAACAGAACATCTCACCATCCCAATAACTTTATTATATTTCACTTTATTAACCAAACAAACAGTTGATAAACAAAAGCTTTAGTGCAGTCCAAATGAATAAATCCTACCTGTACACATCTCGTTTGTCTTGTTTGACTCTAAATGTTCGTTCGTGGCTGCAGGTTTGAAAAAACCAAACGAGAAGCGTTGGATTTGTATTAAACATAAAGCATCATGGAGGTTCAGATCCAAACTTCAATGATGTCCCCGTCCTCCATGTCAAGCTGTGCTGGTGTCTGGCCGCTCATCACCTTGGAGCCGTCAAAGTGGAACCGAACCTTTCTCTGAGTGGTGCTAGGTAGGCTGGACAGATACTGGGAGAAGATGGTGTCCAGCGGCGTGTCCTGAAACAAACCAAACGTCACTCGCCTGTGGCTCTCCCAAAACATGGAGGCCATGAAGGAGAGAGGAAGAGAACCAACTCTGTGGATGGAGTATTCCTGAGATGAGTCTCTGTCTTTGCTCTGCAGCCTCACTGTGACGCTGCTGCTGCTGCGTTGAGCTTCTGCTCTCATGACAACACACTCTGGACAAAACACACACAGAGGTTTCCGTCAGATTAATCAGAACCAGCAGTCCAGATTGGTTTAGTTCAGTTTGGTTCTGAATGGTCAGAAGGCTCTTTTCCAGCTCTCTGCGTGGCTCGACTCTGCTCTACTCGGTTCTGGGAGTTTTCCATTACAAATGAAAAACAGTTCTGGTGGGGGGTTCATCATAGCAGGGTGGCCCCTAGAGTTTGTAAAGCAGCATGAGGCGATGCAAAAACACAAAGCAATGCAGTAATGGCCGACATGTCGGTGACGTTGAACATTCTATAACTAGTCTGAGGCTTTTAGGTAGACTCATAAAATAAGAGACCCAGTACAGAGTTCAGGGAAGCGAGGTGAAACACTCTGGAGCAACCAGTGACTCCAGTCCAACAGAAACGGTGAGTAAAGACGCATCTCAGGGTCTGAACCAGTTCTCTGTTCCAGTAACTCCCACCTCTACATCTCCAGTTACCTCTTGACCCTAAACATGACATCACAAAGGTTACAATTCTGCAGAAAACAATTCGGGTTACTATTGCCATGGGCTGTGAGTTCATTACTGTGGGAAGTTGTTTACACCCAGGTCTTGAGAAGGGTCACTACTGGCTTGAAGAAAGGACAGGTATTTTGGGCTAAGCATCATCTTCCTGAGAATGCTGTTGGGTGTGTCTGTGATGAACTCCACACACACTCCTGTTTCATCCTAATACACTGAAGCCGTAAACACACATAAGCACAGATATCAAAACTGAACTTTTTTAATTCCACCATCTTGTTTTGTCTACCCACAGAGGAACTTTGCACCTTGCAAGTTCAGCAGAGTTCCTGAGATAACTGCAGGAACGCAGCGTTTGTTCAGCATTGTGGAGGAAAACATTGAATTGTGATAAAAAGAAAACAGAATGATACAAAAACCTGAGTGAGACAAACAAGAACACAACACTCTTTAAAAACAACTGACTCACCTATGATGTCAGCGATGCTGAGGCCCAGCTCCCCAACAGAGGAGTCTGACGGCAGCTCAATGTCATGCCTCAGCAGGAGGAGGGAAGTGGGCGGGACTTTCAGAATGACGGACAGCTGGCTCACCACGTCAGTTAAAGGTGCGGACTGCAAACAAAGCAACAGTCACTGCAGCCACAGCTCAGACGGTGGGAAACAGAGCGAGTCTTGGGGTACGTTCATACTGCAGGTCTTAATGATTCGTTCTGGTTTTTTTTGAGTGGCTGTTGACACGATAACTAAATACAACACCAAATATTCTCCAGTGTGAACAGCTCACAGCTCCAAAGTGGCTCGCGTGAGCCGTAGAAGACAAGAAGGCAAACACAACACGCTCTGTGGGGTTGGAACAGGAGAGGTGGAGTCGTGATGTGAACGGCTTCATCCACAAACTCAGGATCACACCTGTCAGGTCTTTCGTTTTGACCTGAACAATCCTGAATCTTACTCCCCGCCGTCATCCCGCATTACTATTTCCCTCTGAAATGTTCACATATTAAGTTAATATGTGGAACATTTAACTGACAGAATTTCAAATTAATCTGAATTTTTTATTAAATTATAAACATAGTTAAAATTTATCCGATATAGCCAAAATATCTGCACTGGGACCAGAATCTGTGCATCTCTACCAGTAAATAACTGCTTTTGTGTATTTTAACGGAGAAAAAGGGCTTTGAGAATCATTAACAATAAATGTCAAAGATCCCTCCAACCCAGGCATCCCCCACTCCCTTCCCCCAGGGCCGGCATCCAGCATGTTTTAGTCGTTTCCCTAAACCAACACACTTGATTCGCCTGATCAGCAGCAGAAGCCTGCTAATCACCTGCTGACTAAAGTCAGGTGCGTTGGAGCAGGGAGCACAGAAAAACATGCTGTATACCGCCCCTCGGGGAAGGGAGCTGGAGATCAGCGCGTCTAACCCGTCACTTATCAACCAGAAAGGACTGAAATTTCATCGGTTGATTAAAAAAATGACAAAAAACAAAGTTAACAAAATACCTTAGCAACAAATATTCAGGTGATGTTTGAAGAAAAAGTAGTTATGATCTGAAATGAAATTAAGTGTTTAAAAAACCTCAACCCAGGAGGAAGGAAGTAGAATTATGGAATAAGGAAAGTAAACATTCAGTGTACTTAGAAAACTTTCTGATTAACTTGAAAATTAGAAAATAATGAAACGGAGTTCCAACAAACAGAAAACAGGAACATTAGAGACAAAGTTCAACAATCAGTTTAGAAACCTGGAGGTCTGTTACCTACGTAGAGCTCCTAGTATAAGCAGCGTGAGGTGGATCCCGACCAGGGGTGTGAGTGTGTAGGGTGTCCCGATTCTCAGGTGCAGAATTTGATCATGCCCCTTTTGCACCTTTGATCCACACTTCACCCAAGTCCACAGTGATGCTGACTTGGGTGAAGTGTATTACCCACAATCCATTGCTGCATGAGAACAGGCTCAAGTTCCTTTTCTGAAAAGATGGATTTTCTAATCGATTTAGTTCATTTTAGGACGATTAGTTGATGCTCTGAAACTTTTAGACAAAGCAGCAATGAATTTAATTTATTTCAAACACCTGTTTGGTTGTTTGTTTGAAAGTTGTTAATAAAGGTTTTTGAAAAAACTACGACAGCGACCGGCAACCCGGCATGTGTTGTGATCGATGATGCAATGCTCCCTGTCTCAATTCAGCAATTATCTGCACACTTTCCTCGTACTCGAAGCCGTACTTTCTCCAAGTGCACTTTGCTGAAGACCGCAGGCTGCAGTGCGAGTATTGAGAATGAGCCGAAGAGCAGGCAGCATGAGGACGAGTAAGGAGCAAAAAGGTGAAAATGAAGAAGAACCACCTCAGAACGTACCGACAGAACTGGGATTTTGTAGACGTCTGATCTGCAGCGAACTTTAAGGGGGATCTCTCGAACCGAGTCTGAGCTGTACGACTTCTGTGTGTCTGGGCTCATGATGATGACATCATCATCTACATTTTCATGGTCCAAATCAGGTTGGACAGATGAAGAGGCTTTGCACCGTTTGGACGGCCTCCTCAGGGGTTCTGGGGACATGATGGAGCTCATGGCCCGCAGCCTCTTGTTGATCTCACTAAACAAGGAAAAAACAGGAGAAACTGACATAAATGGTCAACGTGAAGAACGGCATGAGTACTCTCATATTAAGAAGTTGGCTCATCGATGCCACATTTCAAGCAACCCCGGCAGCTGAAATCACTGTGCTTGTGAGTGACTATAGGTATCCATCCATCTTCTGCACCCGCTTGTCCACGCAGGGTCGCGGGGTGGGGGGGGGGGGGGGGTGGGGTGGGGGTGGGGGGGGGGGGGGGCTATCTCCAGCGGTCAACGGGCAATCAGGTTGCCAGTCCATCGCAGGGCAACACAGAGACACACAGGACAAACATTCATGCGCGTGCGCACACACACACACACACACACACACACACACACACACGCCTACCTAAGGACAATTTAGACAGACCAATCAACCTAACAGTCATGTTGTTGGACTGTGGGAGGAAGCCGGAGAACCCGGAGAGAACCCACGCATGCACAGGGAGAACACACTAACGCCATGCAGAAAGATCCCAGGCTGGGAATTGAACCCAAGACCTTCTTGCTGCAAGGCAACAGCTCTAACCACTGTGCCACTGCGCAGCCCAGCTATAGGTACGGAAAATCCTTTTATTGCTTTCCGACATCATGACATACATGTTATTTGTTATTACATCAAACAAATACCAGCCTGCCTGACGGTCATTTGAACTGGAACAAGTCCACGTAGGAACCGACAGCTGCCCCGGAGCTCGGTTTGCTGAGATACAGACTTTTAGTTTTTGTTCCACTGACACTTGACTTGGCGTGCCGTCACGAAGCACACATAAATGTGAACGTAGTGTGATATCTTAAAGATAATATATTTTCAGTCTCAGTTCAGAGACGGAGGTGCAGTGATGGCTGGTGTGTGTGTGTGTGTGTGTGTGTGTGTGGGTGTGTGTGTGTGTGTGTGTGTGTGTGTGTGTGTGTGTGTGTGTGTGTGTGTGTGTGTGTGTGTGTGTCCAAGTCTGTAAATATGTGTTAAATTCCCAACTTCATCATCTCACCAGCTGTGCTGCAAGTGTCTCGTCTCCAAAATGCGCTTACGCCGGGGTCAAAGCTGAACGTTGCCCACGCTCTTCCACTAAAGCTTTTCATTATAACTCACAACGCTTGCATAGAAAACGAGTCACACGTTTTCAGACACCGTGTTGTGTGTAAGCAAGCGTTATGAATGAGGCCCCAGAACATTTAACACAGGACTTACTTGATGTTCTTAGTGGCCTTCCTGGACTGCTTCCGAACGGGGCTCTCTGGAGGAGGAGGAGGATGAGGAGAAGGGTCTTCTCTGTGACAAACCAACATCATGGAGCATTAAAGATGTCCTAATGGAGCGCAATCTGTATCTGAGGGATCAGGCGGGTGTCTGACTTACACACGATTCTCTGAGCTGTGATGAGGATCTGCTTCATCCTCAGAGTCACTGAGCCTGGCAGATGTCCGAGAGAAAAACCCCGACCACAGACTCTCATCTAAATCATCGTCTGATCAGATGTTGGAAACAGGAAGGCTCATTAGAGACAAAACACGCTGCTGAGCATCAACACAGCTCCTCAGATGTTTCCTCACCTGGGTTTTCTTTATCGGTAAACAGGGCTGTTGGCTTCATCTGCAGGCAACTGCTCACCTGAACACACCAACGTTGGACAGGCACGACTCCATCATGAGAGGAGAAATACAAAAAGACCAACAGGAATCCTTAACAGTTCAAGTTTAACCATACCTTGCTGGAGTACACTGATACAGGAATAACAGCTGATGGATCAAGGACACGCCGGCGTTTAGGTGGCTGCACAGGCTGAACATTTCTACCAGATTCCTGAGGACAGAAACACAATCTGGATTTTTTTTTTTATGTTTGCAGGATTCATAGGGATGGGTACCGAATTCGGTACTTTTTAAGGTACCGACCAAATTCCACAGTACCGACTGAGCATCGATTCACGTCATTTGAAACGGTGCCTCGTTTCGGTACCCGTCCTTCACAACGAGAACTTGCCTAGACAGCTGCGCATGCGCAAGAGCGTGATGTCGTCGGTCGCTGCGAGCCAGTTGTAAACAGAGCAGCATGGTAGAAAGAACGCACGCTAAAGCTTGGGTCCACTTCACTAAATGTGATGGGTAACTGGGTGAAGATGAAACCAGCGACAACGATCTAGAGCCCCCTTCAGACAGGCCATGAAAAACGGAAATGTTCCGGAATCTGTCCGTAAGACCTTTCTGTCTGAATACAAACATCCGGATAACGTGTTCCGGAATTTATCCGGACGAAGCCCCTAGTAACAGGTCCGGACTTGTTACGGACAGGGTGGCTGCTTCAGACTGGTGAGGTAAAGTTCCGGACAAGAGGGAGGGGGAGGAGGAGGGGACCGGGGGACGCTGTGCGCACCTAGATAGCCCGCTGCTGTAGCATGCGGCGAACCACGGCAGCTCGCCTCCTACGGTACCGCCTAGACACGCGACGGAGCGCTTCACACCGCTTCAGTGATTCCTTTAACCATTGAGCTTCATCATCCAGGTCTCTTATGCGTCTTCGTGTGCGCAGAATTATGCTTAAGCGCCTCGTGATTTTTATCTTGAGAGGCGCTGTAGAAATGATATTTTCTTCTTCTTCTTCTTAACATAAGTCTGATCCCCCCCCACCCCCCACCCCCACCCCCGCCGCCGTCAGACATCTGGAACTTTTCCCTGCTGTGTGAACGCAGCCGAAAGGACAAGTTCCGGTACAAAAGTGGTGTGTCTGAAAACACAGTTCCGGTTAAAAACCGGATTGAATTGTCCGCAAATGTTCCAGAATGTCTATCTGAAAAGGGCTTAGGTGAGACATCCTCATCTTAATCTGCTCCAGTAGGTGAATAAAATGTTTAAGATAACGTTAGCTTTATATGTTAGTATCCATTGCCACCGTTGTTATCAGCTAATGGTGTGTTCGCTATCTCCTCGGAAATTCTAACTTCCCAGTAGGAAAAATCACATGAAAAAGGACGGCAAAAGGAATGAAGATACACAGTAAATTTAGTTCACAGTAAAGATGTTTGCTTCAGTTTAATTATCAGCTTATAAAACTACAAGGACGATGTTAAAATACAAGCAGTTGAATGTTATTTATCGTGATATTTATCAAATATTGTTATATATTGAGAAAAATATATATTTAATTATAAAAGAGAATTGAAATAATAAACACTCAAAAGTATCTAAAATTGGTACCGTTAAGTACCGGAAACGATTCCTAGGTACCGGGAATTAGTACCGGATCGATTCAAATGTCAAAGGTACCCATCCTTATGCAGGAAGGGAAATTTGTATTTTTCTTTTTGTTTATTTTTGTATTTGTAGTTTGGTAGAGTGAGGTATAAACGGCTCGTATTAAACACAGTTTGACTGTTAAAAAGAAGCCTCATCTCTGTTCCCCTGCAGTGCCCACTATTGTGGTATATTATTTACATGATCTAATCTAGAGTTTCCTTCTTTTATGACTTTGAGAAATGAAATGAATCGCTGCACCATTTAGAAGCACTCTGAGGGAGCATTTGCTGGCAGCCAGAGGTCACACGATCCATTTATCCCTGTCATTGTTGTTTTTAAAATAATCATTCAGTTTCCATTCATTTTTAACATTTAGCCCAAGCAAGCAGATCAGAGTGCCCCATATAGACCCTTTTACTACCTACGTCATCAAAAGTTGCGCGCGCAGCCTGGCAACGAGAGTGAAGGCTTCCTCATTCACACTCGATACTAAAACAGCGTTTTAAACCCTTTGTTTTGAAGTTCTGAGCACATAAACATGTCGGGTTGTTGCGTGTATGGATGCCAGAACTCTTCAAGCAGTGGACTGAAACTTTACAGAATTCCGAAGGGAGCACATCCATTTCAACACAATCGGAGGCGTCTGTGGCTGCAGGCCATCAAAAGGGTTGATGAAAACTGGACTGAAAACACGATCCGAAATGCTCGAGTTTGTAGCGCCCATTTTATATCAGGAAAGGTAATTATGTACTAAGATTACACCAGAAAGCTGGTTAACGTGTGTTCTATTAAATAAAGTAAGTTGCATTTGCTGGTTTGCAAATGAAATTAACATTTCATTCTAATTCATCTGTATTTTCCCACTGCATATTAGTATAAACTGTATTTCTCTAAAATTAACACGATTGTACTCTGAGCACGCTAAAAAAAGAAACCTATGCTATACTCACCCTGCCATGCAGGTACGTAGTTCTCTGGTTTGTTTACTATGACCCAAGCCTCGTACATAGCAGTCTTGTGTCCTCGTCTTTGGCTAGGAAGGACTTCTGCCTTCAAGACGCAAAACTCAGAGTCTATGTGGTGATATTTTACTTCCTGTACGTGGCCACAGACAACATAGTTGTATGCATCTAACGATTTGTATGCCCGTAGCTTCTCACGTGTGTACTCACTGGGCCTCTCCACTAAAAACGTATATATATCGGGCCACTGGACATCTGGCCACGCACCTACATCTTCCACCCATTCCGTAATGCCACAGGGATCCGGGAGTCTGTTGCCATTCGTTAAAGTGACTTTAATAATATAACATTCAAGATTTGCCGGTGATAACCCCGCAGCGTAGCTTGATAAAGCCTGACACAACGCCATTCTCTGTTGCCAAGCTGTACGCGCATTCTCGCTGACGTCATATTGTTTACAAACAGTAAAAGGGTCTATAAGCAATGCAATTAACCAATTCCACTTAAATTGGGAACATTTCACCTGCTGTGGCCCGAACACGCATCCCTTCTGCTCCTCGTAAACCTGAACTGGTCACCTGCAGCTTGTGTGCAGTAAAATGTCTCTAGGGAGCTTGCTGAAGAGGTTATGAGGTTCTGGATTGTTGCATCAGACAGACTCGTGGATGTTTAAATGTTGTTCTGGATGAACTCACTCTTCGCTGACACACACAGGTGCTGAATAACGAGTGCTACTTCAGCCAAAGTCTTTAAATTGGGAAACATTTCTCACTCACACGTCACTCTTGAGCACGATGTTGAACCGGATATGTTATGAGCGACGAACTGATAACCTCCATTAATTGTCCCATGCATTGTTTGTGCGTAGCTTTTTTCCCCCTGCTTCCCTGCAGTTTGTTTTTTATAGCGACCGGAAGGTCCATCCACTGGATGGATAAAGGTTCTTCAGTGGGATTGGTTAAAGGGGAATGAACCCAAAAAGGAAAATGGCCTTAACCCTCGCAGGCTCAAAACAAGTTTTGATAAAAGGACGAACAACTAAGTCCTTCAGGGGTACTTCTGAGTTGAAATATGCTGTGGAGTAACCAGGTAGGCAGGTTTTAACTGTTGCAAATCTGCAACGCCTGCCTCCAGAGGGTTAAAGGGCGAAGCCTATACGAAATAGAACCTCCTATCTTCATTTTCCCATCCTCCTCATCTCTCCCACACCTTTCTATATGGCATTCACAGGAGAGTAGTTTCGATCTGTGTCCAAGTGTCCTAGACAGTCCAGAGTGGACCCCGACCACAATAAATCTAAACTTAGAATACATATTTGTCCAAGGCGAAATGGTGCCGTTTCAGCGAAACCAACAATACAAATCTTATAATGAAGTCGATGATCTGATATTTATATTACACCCCCCCCATCTCTTTTAGTCATGGTGCCAGCCCTCCCTCAACCTGCTCCCCGTGTGTGATGACAGAAGACGAGTCATGCACAGTAAGTTGATAAGGAAATAAATATATTTCAATGTAACATTGAAATGTTAGTAACTGAAATAGGAGCTCGACATACTTTTACAGCTATTTTTTTTCTAATTCACTGTTAGCATTGTTAGCTCAACATTGGCTTCGAGCTTCTTTTCCCAATATCAGATTAACATATCGGTATCGGTCTGATAAATAAAACTGGGCCAATATTAACAACCAATATTTTTCCCATCTTGTCTCCATTTGTTTGCCTGTTTCAGAGGCTGAGGGGGGTGATGTGTAATTGTTTAGTCATGAGAAATGTGAATGTAATCATCTGAGAAGCTTAAATGTGTGTGGTGTGTGTACATAATTATGTAAATTTGGCTTTAATAATTTTCATTTTATTCAAAATTCCTGATTTTAAAAGCATTAACGTCAGTATATCGATATCGGCAAATATCGGTTTTCGGCCATAACAGTGATCTTAACATCGGTACCGGCCCAAATAGTTTATATCGGTGCATCACTAATGGATATTGACCAATTATAATAACCAGTTGTTTTCTTGATACATATCTACTGAAGTCCAACCAAACTAACACTGAGTGCATGTCCATCACCACAAGAACTCAAACGAGACAAGATCAGCTCCTGCTGCCCAAATATCAAGTCGACGTTGTCCAAACAAAGCAGAAAACTCTGCAAAGTAGCATTTCAGAGTTAGTGTCTGGAGCCAGCCGGTAAACATTATTAACCCGTGGCACATTTAGGTACTTATATGCTCACAACATGAGTAACCAATACACACGATAAAGAAACAAATAACAGCTAATCACACCAGACAAAACTGAACGACATATTTAGAATAAAACGTGCAAATGCACAAACAAAAGCGCGTTTCATTTCTTTTCTTGTCGTGATTTATTGGTTTAAGTAGCTTCCTGCAAAGCTTGTTAGCAATTTACTGCCCTCCTTCACGTGGAATAATCAAGTAGTGAAAATGCTTATTAATGTTTGATCTAGTATTTAAAAAGAAAAATAGCAAACTCCGCGACAGGCTTTTATTGTGAAGAACACTGGAGTTATGCTAACGGATCAGTTTATCACCGTCTGACTCAAATTAACGGTTTCAGAGCAGCTAAATGTAAGTTCAGTTCATAACGCAGAGTTGGTATCGTTAAAACCGTCTCATCTCCGTGACAATATTAATCCATACAAGTATTTTAAAAGCGATAAAATCGCCAACGACTCTGTCGGAAACTCACCTCGTCAGACATGTTTTTATCTGCGCGCTGCTGCTGCCTTCACGGACAGTTGGATTTACGAGACTTCAGTGAATTTCCTGGTTGGTGTTGCTTTCAAAGACGATCAAACCAGTCATTTATAACACAGTAAAACTCAGGAAAATTCAACAACACTTCTTGCTTTATCAAAAGAACTTTTTAAATTTATTTTTTACAAAATATTCTTCCTAATCTGTCAGTCTTTAACATGTACATACACATTTTATGACACATTTACATATTTTTTTATTTCAGTTTATTTAAGCTTTTAGGTCTTAATTACTCAAAATGCCAAAAATGACATTTATTTGGTTTAACCCTCCTACTGTCCTAATGGGTGTGACCCCGCGAGGAAAGCTGACCATTGAGCAGGGTTGATGGTTTGTTTATCCCTTGGGTCCATGTGGCAGGGGCCAGGAGTGAGCCCCTGCCACATGGACATCAATCCTGCTCAATGGTCAACTTTCCTCGGGGGGGGTCACACCCATTAGTACAGTGGGAGGGTTAAAGTATTAAACATTAACACATCAACCATTTAAATGCAGACTGGACCAGGGTTTTCACTACAAACGAGGTGAATCCGTGTAATCAATCACAGTATATGGACAGTACCCAAAAAATAATATAAAAACATGGGAAAACAGCTCCAGATGAATGCTTTAACTTCTATAACATTTAACATGAAAACAAATTTGGGCTGAATAATTGCAGAGTTGTCTCACAGCAGCCCGCTATGTCCTCTTCCAGCTAACCAGTGACCTCTGAGAAAACAGCTGTTGGTTAAAATAACCGAATTTCCTTAATGATCAATGGGTCTGTGGATGACACTTCAGTAAACAATCTACCTTGTTCTAAATTCTTTTAAAACACAATCAGAGCCCCAGATTCCAGAGTATTTCACGTGACTCAAAAGCATTTTTGAGTCTAATCATGTTCACGGAGAGGCTGCGTTCAGCTCACATCTGGTTTCCAGTCGTGCATCACTTCTTCTTGTTCTCCTTGCAGGCCACCACGTATCTCTGGGCCACGTTGAGTGGAGGAGAATACCCGTCGGGGTACGATGTGTCCTCAAACAACACAGAGTAATCATCCTGCGGCTGAACACAAACATATGATTGATTGATATTGTTTAGATCTGAGCTAGTGTGGATTCAAAATCCATCAGCAGCGTGGTGAGGCTTTTGTGGCGTTTCCCGTTTTACGATAAAAGCTGCATGTCTCACCCTGTGTGGTGGCGAGTGGATCAGGGCCCGGTAGAAGCAGGTGGTCTGCGGGTAGAGGGCTAGAACCAGCTGATCTTTACTGAACAGGGCCTCAGGGTCTGTCTCTGGGTTGGCTTTCCACTGAGGAAGAGGGATGATCCTCCGTCTGCTTAGAGTGTGCCTCCTGATTAGACAAATAGCACACTGGTATCAGAACCAGCCATATGGCATCAGACAGACGGATTAATCAGCCAGTCAGGAACCTTAGTCGGAACCACAAGGAAAACGAACATAAAATATGAAAAAGAACTTTAAGAATGCAGGATTCATTCTTGGAAAAAGCTGTTTAAGCAAGCTACATTTGGACAAAAAATTAAAAAATTCAAGGGTCTGGATCTTTTCTTCAGACTTTCCCCTCGAGATACAGAACCTGACGGTAGCAGAAAACGGTACAGCACCTACTTCTAATACAGACACACAGTTCTACAGAGCTGCTAAAATTCAAATTCCTGAACCAACTCAGAACCAAACCAAACTTCCACACACTCGCTTTGCTTCTAAATCACACTTAGAAGCACTGATAAATCAGCAAGTCTCTGTAGAAAATCTCACGGTTTACCAAAATGATGCATTTCTGTATTTGTTTTAGTGTGTTTGTGTGGAGGACAGAAGCAGGTTTCATGATGTCACAGCCCACTTAGCAGGTCTGAGGTGATGAGCGCAGAGCAGACGTAAACTCACTCTTTGCCCTCCTCATCGATGTCGTCCACTTCATATCTGCAGGGAGAGAAAAGGAAGTGATCAGCTGATTCCTCGGAGAGTTGCTGAGGCTTCCTTCTGATACTCTGAGCACTCGTGAGAGTGTGTGTGGCCTCCTCACTTGTTGGTGGAGTGGCTGTAGCTAACCACCTCAGCCAGAATCCACTGCTCATCTCCATCAACAGCTTTCACCCTTGCTGCCACCTTGTCTCCCTGTTTGGCCACGTAATCGCTGCTAGCTGGTGTCGCCCCACACAGAGGGGGTGGACTGGACCACGGGTTCAACAGAATTAGTTTCAAAGAAGAAAAAAATTAAGAAACAAAACTCAACTCATCTGTTGTTTTGAATCCAAAGGTGTCAAACTGTTTATTTCATTAAACCAGACTGGACTAGATTAGGAGTTAGGACCAGAGCAGCTACCTCTCTCCGGGCTTGCCGATCCACAGTGGGAGTGTCATGGCCGACTGCTGGAGGAGTGTCATCAGGACGCCACGCCTCATTGTCTTCCTGGGGGGGTCGCTGTTGCTGTAAACACCAGCCATCTTAGCAGCTGAAAAACAAACTCAGGTTTAAAAACCAGGACTCATGACTCTCAGCTGCTGAACAAGAAACCAGAAACGTACCGATCCGTCTCTCCTCCAGCAGAGACTTGATCTCTGCTATTTTATCCAGATCATGGCGCAGGATGCTTTGAGGAAGAAAAATTCATCAGAATTTGTTCTGGTTCTACAACTCGTCATCGTCAGGAAGAAGAAACTTCTCTCAGTAGTGTGGACATTCACCTGCACTCTGCTTCCGCGTCGGCCTTTGCTGTCGTGTACAGACCTCTCAGTTTGGTGCGGTAATATGGAGATGCTGAAAAAGATAGTGCTACAGGTCAAAGGTCATTTAACTGGCAAAACCAGACTGCTTCCCCTGAGGGTAATATCCAATCAGCGGCAAACACTGTGTGTTAGTTTGTAACTTGTGTGTGAACCAGGCAAGAAGCTATGGGCACCTGTGGACTGATCACTCATCCGTCACATCTGTACTGTTTAATAGTTCCTATTTACCCTTCATCTTGTTTTGTTTGATTAAGGAGTTGTAGAGCAGGGGTGTGGAAGTGTGGCCCATGGGCCATTTGTCCCGTCAGCATAGGCTGTTGATGCAGACAGACATTATTTTTCATTAAATTAATATTTTGACTGATGTAAAGTCTAACAAATACAGATACATGTTCAATGCTTTTAAATGTAAGAGGTTTTGGTCCAATCCAAAGTGTTTGTCTTTTTGAAGGTTTGCTTTATTTATTTTTTGCTTGTAATTTAATATCTTGGTAAATCGAGCCCCAAACCCCCCGACCAATAATAAAACTTGACTAAATACAACAAACAGTATTGAAGAGCGACCCAGATCTCGTACTTGCTGCTGCTGATGAACTCACATGGATTTCAAGACAAAGAAACTAGAAAGTAATCAGGCCGTCTAATAAAGGGAATGGATGCTCACTGGTTCAATGAACAAATCAGGATTTAGATATTTAAAATTCACCTTAATTGTCATTCATGGGGTGATCAGCTGTACTTAAAATGTAAAATAATCAGATTTTATTCACCTACTGAAGTAAAATGATTTCCTGATAAAATTAAATAACTATATTAAACGTTGAAAAAATCTGCTTCATCAATATTTGTATTAATTTCATACTTGATAAGCAATGTGGGAAATTATTTTCTATTTTAAATCATGGAAATGTTTTAATTTATTTATTCATTGTTTAACCAGGAAGATCCAACTAAATACAACAAACTACTGAACTGAGATTAAAAACCTAATTTTCAAGGGCGTCCTGGCCTACATGCAGCAAAAGTTACAGTTACAGCCATGTTGTGTCTGTGTAAAAAGTTACTGAAACATTAAATCTTTTACTTTTCCCATCATTTAGATAACTCGTTTTCCCCACAACACACACACACACACACACACACACACACACACACACACACACACACACACGACAGAATACCTGTTACAGCGATTTAAACTGACTTTTGTTTTCCGTCTGCATCCTCTCGTGTGTTTTCTGGATATTGAGCAGATTGTGTTCACTGCGTGACCTCTCCTCCTGAAAGAGACAACAGACGAACCGATTATTTACCAGGTGTGCTGACCCAGATCAGCTGCCACCCGAACCGGAACTCACTTGAGTCTGTTTGATGAGCTGGTGGAGCTCCGTCAGCAGCTCTGCGATCTTTGTGTCGGCAGACATGTTTTATCCTGTAAGATTCTCAAATTCAAACAGCTTCTAAAAGCAGCGATGAAGAACTTTTGCTTAAATATTAATGGTAGCATTCTGCTCGACTGCGTTAGCGACTGGCTCAATATACAAAAACAAGATAATTTAACAACAAAATCAGAGCCATCATTTCCTCGTGACATAATCCCAGTGATATTTATCCCATTCGACTTGTATCAAACCCATTAATGTACTCACCGAACAGATTTACGTGTTTATTTACTTCAGACGCTAACTACAAGTCTCCTTCTTGGCTGTTTGAGGGGTCGCTTTACCGCTTGTAACAGGAACAGCGCCAATTTCTGCTGTGGTCAGTGTCTGGAACTGCAACCATGGTCGAAAACTGTCGAAACCCTTTTCGCCCCGTTACCCCCCCCCCCCCCCCCCCCTCACCTCCTTTTTAATTACGTGTAGCAGCACCTATGACGTACGTACACGTGCCATAACAATGAGCCGTATTGGTTAAAGAATGAAAAATGTCTGTTTAACTGAAGCAGTTGCATGTTTGAGATTTATCTCAAGTTTTTTGTCACTTGTAATATTTCAGTCAAGACATCTTTAGAGCATTTATTCTGTCAAATGCTTGAATAAATTCCCCCTGAGGTACATTTAAAATTTTTGGGACTTGTCAAGTGTATTTTTTATATGGACACCAAGTTCTTTATCAATAATCTAAACAATTTTAAGTCCACTGAACTAAAACACAAAAAGGACAAGAATGAGAAAATAACTTTTCTTTCATCGCACAATTTATGAAACAATGACAAAAGAATAAAAGATAGCCCTTGTTTTCATTTACATTTTTCCCCTTTCACTGAGATTCTAGGCTAAACAAAAACAACAACACTCTGACGTTAGTTGAAACATTTTAATTATAAAACGACCTTGTAAAAACAACCATCCTTCAGCTGCAAAGTCACAACCGAAGGTGCACCTCTGTGGCCTGAGCCATGACTCTGAACTCAGGTAAACTCCAACACCAGAGATCAGTGTGCAACCCCTGCAGGCATCAGAGAAGAGGCCTGGATCTGCAGGCTCTTCGCCACGCCGAGGTTAATCCCAGCAGAGCTCCAACAAGCTCCATCAATCTGCACGTCAAGGCCGTGGTCAGTTTCCAGGTAAAGCTGTCCGAGTCGCCCTGTTAAAAACAAAAGACCAAAGCCTGGTTATTGTAAACACATCTGCAGAGCAGAACCAAGCACACAACACTGATCATTTTACACAATCATTCCAGATAGATTGATGGTCAAAATCAATCCTCCCAAATGGATTAAAACAATTAGGCAAACATGTTGTGTGCAACTTAAATCTATTTATCAACTTTCAATTTTAGGATTTTGGTTTGATGCAAATATTTGAGAACATTTCTTGAAATGGGGCGTTTTAAGCAGTAGTTGGGTTAAGTGAAGCCACCAAACAGTTCCAGCTTTCACCTGCTTTAGGTGGTAAACTCGGGTTTAAAGGGTTAATTCTGTTTGCGTCGTGGCAGCAGCTCTGCAGGAAGCGCTCCAAATCCCGGAGAAATCCAACAATTTAACGTTTATAAATGCTCGATGCTTTTGGATCCAACTAAACAAACAGCGTTCCTGTCGGCGGGGCCGTTAACCCAAACTGGACGGAGACTTTATTTCTGCAGGTGTGTTTGTTCCACCTTGGTCATCACTCCTTGGCTTTCTTCTCGCTGTTCTGGAGTTTCTCCGCGATCTTCCGCTCGTGTCCGGCGGGGTTGTGTCGGTTCGTGTTGTCGCTGGCCTCCTTCTTGGTTCGGCCTTTTCGGGCCGAGCCTTCTGCAACACACACACACACACACACACACACACACACACACACACACACACACACACACACACACACACACACACACACACACACACACACACACACACACATTTACCCACCCTGAACCGGTCTGGTCTGGAGTTCCGTTAGCTCCAGGCTAAGGAAAGAGCTGCTCACCTGCGTATTTGTCGGTCAGACTGTAATAATCATATTCGTCATAATGTTCTTCCTCGAACTTGTTGGAGGGTTTCAGGTTTTTCACGTCGACGTGACTCATGTTTGCTTCAGCTTCTCAACACAAAGACTCAGAAACGTTCACTCGGTACTTTTCTTCGGCTGGTCTCCTTGTTTTCGGTCTCCTCTCGGTGTTTTCTTCTCCTGCAGGTTTTTATAACTTACTGAGCTCCTCCTCCTCTCCTTTACTCCTCCTGCTGGTTTCCTCCTTTTTCAGCCAAAACAAACGTTGCATCAGAAACACAAACAGCTGACGCCCGTTCTGCACGTTTCTGCCTAAAGTCTAAACAGTAATGGAAGACCTGCTTAAAAATACATTTGATCTACTGTTGGAGGAGAAATCTTCACAGTAACGCACACACGCGCGCGCGCACACACACACTCGGATGAGGTGTTGTGACCCCTGGATTTTCCAGCTGTCCCAAAGGAAGGAGACCCTTGGAAGACACTGATCTGGGAATGCCTTGGATCCTCCGGAGTGAACTAGGGAGCGTTGCTGAGGAAAAGGGGGTCCAGACTTCCCTCCTGGACCTCCACCACCTGAACTTAGATAATTTATTTTGACTTTCAATCCAGCAATTTTATTCTAAATATAAACATACCTTTTTAAACAATGTTTTTTTATTTTTGAAATACTCTTTAATCCCACAATTTTTAAATCAAAATATATTTTTCACATGTTTTGTTTTTGACTTCAGATCCTCCGTTTACTTTTCAAACTTCACGTCTGTAAAATGTTACTTCTTATTCAAAACTTTACCCTTTACTTGTTTTCCATCTTCACTGAGAAATTAACATATTTAAAACACATTTTTTCTGGTTGTGTGTGTGTGTGTGCGTGCGTGTGTGCGTGCGTGTGTGCGTGCGTGCGTGCGTGCGTGTGTGTGTGGTTCCTTTTTTGTTTGTTTTCTTAAAACGAAGTGATTCTATCAGCAGCTGCAGCGTTCCCACATCCTTGAACTCAGAACCTGTTACCTGATCTCACCTGGGCTGATGCCACCTAGCTCAGGATCGGCGGTTTCAGACAAGTTCCAACAGAGTTTCATCATTTTAACCCAAAGCTCTGACAGGTTTGGACAATTAAATAAATCTATTGATTTTTCAGCAGTTAAGCAAAATGAATTGATGATTAAATCTGTAGATTTTCAGGTTTTTATTAACTTACTGTTAATCAATCTGAATGAATGATTCTGACTTTTAAATATATTCATATTTTTGTTGCTTTGTCTTCATATCTATACTTTTTACAGAGATAAAACCATCAATAGTCACAAAATCCTCAGTTCACAGGATGTTTGTGACAAACCAGAGTTCATGACAGGCCTTGTATTTACACCAATAAAGTTATAGATAGTGAATTTATAGGTTGCTTTTTCACCAGACAGTATGTTTGAGTTCACCTGAGCTGGTGTGTGAAGCTTTAATCTGCTATCTAATCTCAGACACTTAAATACAAACTTTGGACTGAACTTATCTTAAAAACACTGTAAAACAGTTTAATTCCTTCAGTGTTTAATAAAAAAAAACTGTAAAGATGTGAAAATGATCACAGGATGAAACCAGTCAGATAATTCATGTTGAGTCTTGACTTGGACGTTTGTTTCCCTGCAGACAGAACAGAGTCCAGCCGACATGTTTGGGTTTACTTAGAAACCCTGAGGGGCAGAGGTCAAACATTTAGAAATGTTTTCTGCTGTTTGGATCTCTGAGATCAGGTTTTTGCAGATCTGTATGTTTCCTCGTTCTGCAGCTGTTTGTCTTTGCTACACACCCAGTGGACACACAACCAGGTCACAGGTGTCGATCATTAACTCGTGTGCAGGTAAACAGATCGGCTCGCTGGTTGGTTTGAAAATCAAAAACAGAAAAAAGAAAATAGTCATTTGAACCAACAAAAAGACATTTAGGGATACAACAATACCTCATGAATAAACAAAAATACACAAAACTAAACACAAGTAGTGTAAACTCATCTACAAGCAATTCTTACATTAATAATTTAGTAATAAAATTAAAAAAGAAATTTAAATATATATTTTATTTCTAAACTTAATGATGTGTTATTACTAGATTTTATCATTTTATTCAATTTGAATGAAAAATAACCACAAACCTGCTCAAACAAGCAAACATATTCATAAATAACCAGCTGAATTATGAAGAAAGTCACCTGACTATTGACCAGCTGATTGGCTGTTGTGTTTACTGAAACAGTTGATGAGATTCCTAATGACTCTGGATTTTTTACCTGCAGGACTAAAATGAGTTTGTTTCACGGCAGCAGACGGGACTCAGTGATCAGGATCTGTGTGACACGCTTGTTCACGATGACACAGACAACAGGACAAAGTTCTGTCAAAGATTCAATGAAACCTGCTGATCAAACATACGCTGCAGGTTTCATCAGTCCATCATGGCTGTCACGTTAAAAACTCAAATCCAGGAAAAAAGCCAAAGTGGTATCAGATCTGAGTTCAATCAGAAGAAGAAAACTATTAAACGGCAATCGTCTTCGTTCTGTTTCTGATTCTTTAGAAGTTTCAAACCTAATCTCACACAGATTTTTTCTGTTGCTGCTTTCTTGTTTTCAACCAAACAAATTTTATATGTTTCACAGTAATAAGAATAATAAGAATAAGAAGAACTTTATTTATCCCGAGGGAAGTTCTTGTGTCATGTACATGCTCAAAGCAGTGGGAGAGACAAAGGAACAGGTGAAATAGAAATATGATATACAATATATACATTAAAAAAAGATCTACAGTAGTATCCTGTAGGATAGTGCAAAACAAACAATCGCATATCTCAATAATTAAATACATGACTGTGTCCTTGTGAATAAGTAATTAAGCCGTCGGTGCAGGCGATTCACAAAAGTGATTAAAGTATTGTGTAATAGAATAAGGGTTTGTAGCAGCATATGATATGATGGGGGGATAAAAACATATTTACAATCAGAACTCTTGGGTAATATTGCACAGTCGGTGAGGGCACAGAGTAACCTAGGTAACAGTATTTGGAGAATCACCTACAGCGTGAGGAAGAGTTAAACAGTCCTATTGCCACCGGTACGAAGGACTTCCTGTGGCGGTCAGTTCTGCATTTCGGGGCAATGAGTCTTTTGCTGTGTGTGCTTCGGTGGTCCATCATGTGGGCGTGCATGGGGTGGGAGGGGTTGTTCATGATAGAGAGAAGCTTTTTTAGCATTCTCCTCTCAGACACCTCCTCCAGGTTCTCCAGTCTTAACACCCAGGACAGACCCAGCCCTTCTAATCAGCTTGTTCAGCCGGTTGGCACCTGCTATCTTCACCCCACTGCCCCAGCACACAGCTGCAAAGAACACAACGCTCTCCAACACCGAGTGGTAGAACATGGTCAGCAATTTCCTACCAACATTGAAGGACCTGAGCCGCCTCAGTAGGAAAAGCCGACTCTGCCCTTTTTTGAAGATAGCATTGGTGTTCTTGGTCCAGTCCAGTTTACAGTCCAAGTGTACACCCAGGTACCGGTAGTCCTCAACGATCACAACGTCAGCCCCTCTGATGGTGACAGGAGTAGGAGGTGGGGCCTGCTTCCTAAAGTCCATAATCAGTTCTTTAGTCTTTGTGATGTTAAGTTGTAGGTTGTTTAGCTCACACCACTCCACAAAGCTGTCCACCACACTCCTGTACTCCACCTCCTGACCATCCCTGATACAGCCCACGATTGCAGAGTCATCAGAGAATTTCTGCAGATGGCAAGACTGAGACTTGCACCTGAAGTCAGATGTGTAAAGGGTGAAGAGGAAGGGTGATAGGACTGTCCCCTGCGGCGCCCCCGTGCTGCTCAGGATGTTGTCTGAGCGGCAGCTCATCAGTCGGACATGCTGTGGTCTATTTGTTAAATAGTCCGTAATCCAACCTACTAGTGGGGCGTCCACCTGCATTTCCGTGAGCTTGTTCCCCAGCAGTGATGGTCTGATCGTGTTAAAGGCACTAGAGAAGTCGAAGAACATGACCCTCACAGTGCTCCCAGCAATGTCCAGATGAGAATATGCCCGGTCCAGCAGGTAGATGAGGGCATCCTCCACACCGATAAGAGGTTGATAAGCAAACTGCAGGGGATCCAGCCATGGCTCCACCAGCAGCCGCAGATGTTTTAGGATGAGTCTCTCCAGCGTCTTCATGACATGTGAGGTCAGAGCCACTGGCCTGTAGTCACTGGGGGTTGACTGGTTGATCTTTTTAGGGACAGGAACCAGGCAGGATGTCTTCTAGAGTGATGGAACGCTCTGCATCTCCAGGCTCATGTTGAAGATCCGTTGTAAAACTCCAGACAGCTGGGAAGCACAACACCTAAGGGCGCTGGGACTGACACCATCAGGACCAGCAGCTTTGCCGGGGTGGAGTCTGCCCAATTCTTTTTTGATGTCATCTGCTGAGAGGGACAGGGTGAGACAGTCAGAGGAGGCAGGAGATGGGGGGGATGGAAGGGGATGATGGGAAGAGCTGGATGTGGAGACAGGAGACGCTGGGCAGTCGAACCTATTGAAGTGTAGATTTAGGTTGTTAGCACTTTCGACATCCCCCTCCATCCCAACACCTCTCTTTTGTCTCAGGCCAGTGATAGCCCACATTCCATTCCACACCTCCCTGGTGTTGTTTTCCTTCCTGCAGATTGTTTTCCAGCCTCCGTCTGTAGGACTCTTTCCCCTCAGCAATCTTGGCTTTCAGCTCCTTCTGCACCAGTTTCAGCTGATCTCTGTCACCATTTATGAAAGCTCTTTTTTTCTTGTTCAGGGTTGCTTTTATGTCTTTGGAAACCCCGGGCTTATTGTTGAGAAAGCACAGTATGGTTTTTTGGGGCACTACCGTGTCAACACAGAAGTTGATATAGTCTGTAACACAGCCCGTCAGATTGTCAATATTGTCCTGATTGGAATCACAAAGAACATCCCAGTCTGTTGACTCAAAGCATCCCTGCAGAGTCTCTTCCAACTCCCTTGTCCATGTTGTGACCGTTTTTGTGGCTGCAGGTTGTCTCTGGACGGCAGGTCTGTAAAGGGGCTGGAGGAAGACCAGGTTGTGATCAGCCCTGCCCAGGGGAGGGAGAGGGCTGGAGGTGTATGCCTCAGCAGCATTGGCATTTAGCGTTTAAACCCTAAAACTGTACTCTTGAGTTTTTATCTCTGTAGCTGCCCCTGGCACCATGA